TGAGGTATGTCCTCAAAATCAATAGGGATCTGGATCAATATCCCAATGCGCCTCAAATTAAGGAACACAAAAGTTGTGCGTAAATGAAAAATCTGTGTAGTGATATTGGACATGTTTCAATTTTTAACAAGTGACTTAGCTTAACTATTTGAGCTGATTTGGAGAGCAGAGGACCATAGAATAAAGGTGTAAAAACTATGGAGTTATTAATGTATGCAAAAAACTAAATTTTCAAAGAACTTATTGTGTGAGATTTTTTAACCTCGAGAAGCTGCATCACAAACGACTTTTCATTGTTTGCTAAATTATGGAAAAACGAATCTCTTCATACTCCGAAAATTTAACCACATACGTGAAAATGTCAGCTTCAAAACGAGCCATCATACATATTCAAGTTTATGATATGAGCAGAGGAACTGAGGAAAAGGCTACCGTACCATTACCACCTACCTGAAATGAATTGCGCATCTGTACCCATCTGCCTCTCGTTACATTACGGTTTTTTTTTCTTCTATTGAATGCATATGTACTTATTCAATATTTAAGCTGCTATATATAACTGTATTATGTATTTTATTTTGTTTTTATTTTTGTCTTTTCTATTTGTATTAATAGTTATTGAAGGCCTCATGGAAGATTAACATGTCATTGTTAAATGTGTTACCTTCTTTAAATAAAGAATTTTATTTATTATTTACATGTGACCCATTTATGCTATTAGGCTCCACATCCATGTAATTATATAAATCTATAATCTGGAAACTACTTTCCTGCACAAATTTGGATCTATTTTAGGTAACCAAGACCTTGAAATTTTTTGGCAATTTTCATTTATTTTGACCTTGAAAGTGGTGACCTCAAAATCAATTTGGATCTTCCTCTCATTACATGTGACCATGTATCCCAGTAAAGTTGCTTTTCTTAATAAAATATTTCACTAAGCATTCAAACTTTCCTGCAAAAGTTTCAGTCTGTCTTTAGTTACTATGACCTTGAATTTTGACATAGTGACCCCAAAATCAATAAGGATCTTCCTCTTAGTATATGTGACCATATATGTATCTTTGGTTACTAAAAGAACTTGAGCAATAAGCTGCATCCTGAAACCAAAATGACCGACAGATACAAAAAAACAATAATGTGTCCATAGTTCACGGATGCCCCACTCGCACTATCATTTTCTATGTTCAATGAACCGTGAAATTGGGGTCAAACCTCTAATTTGGCATTAAAATTAGATAGATCATATTATAGGGAATATGTGTACTAAGTTTCAAGTTGGTTGGACTTCAACTTCATCAAAAACTACCTTGACTAAAAACTTTAACCTGAAGCGGGACAGATGGACGAACGGACGGACGGACGAACGAACGGACGCACAGACCGAAATACATAATGCCCCTCTACTATCGTAGGTGGGGCATATAAATCGTAAGGGGTTCCGCGTTACCCTGTGTCTCGCCTGCGATTGCTGCTGTAAGTGTAAAAGTGTACTGTTGACTTAAAAAGTGAGTCTATTTATCAGTAAAATACAGAATTCAAAAAAAAAATCACTTTTTCTTTAAATGCTATGAAGGTTTACATATTCATCATGTCAACAAATTTAATCCTAGACTGTCTGTAAATGTTAACTGTAAATAAACTGTTATCACAGAGATATGTCTCGCTTTTTTGTAATTTCAATAATGCGAATGTTGAATTTAAAATAGCAACACTTTCACATGTAAGTTTTGCAAATATTCAAAGTCAATAAACCATGACTGAAGGTAAATGGCTAAACAATCTCCTTGGAAATGAGATGTGCCAATGCTAATACAACTGCATACCAAATACCATTGACTTATCACAAGTATTTCTCTTTAAACAAACCTAAACACAAACTAATAAATGTAAACTAAGCAAAATTTCAAAGTCAATTAACCATAACTGAGGGGGCAGGGTCAAATAATCTCCAGGGTAATGAGATGTGCCAATGCTAATACAACTGCATACCAAATATCATTGACCTACCATTCGTGGTTCCAAATAAACCGACTTAATCACAAACTAATACATGAAAACTAAGCAAAAGTTTCAAAGTCAATAGACCATGACTGAGGGGTCGGGCCCAAATAATCTCTAGGGAAATGAGATGTGCCAATGTTAATACAACTGCATACCAAATATCATTGACCTACCACTAGTGGTTCCCCATAAACTGACCTAATCACAAACTAATACATGTAAACTAAGCAAAGTTTCAAAGTCAATAGACCTTGACTGAGGGGGCAGGGCTAAATAATCTCCATGGTAATGAGATGTGCCAATGTTAATACAACTGCATACCAAATATCATTGACCTACCACTAGTGGTTCCCCATAAACTGACCTAATCACAAACTAAAACATGTAAACTAAGCAAAGTTTCAAAGTCAATAGACCTTGACTGAGGAGGCAGGGCTAAATAATCTCCATGGTAATGAGATGTGCCAATGTTAATACAACTGCATACCAAATATCATTGACCTACCACTAGTGGTTCCCCATAAACTGACCTAATCACAAACTAATACATGTAAACTAAGCAAAGTTTCAAAGTCAATAGACCTTGACTAAGGGGGCAGGGCTAAATAATCTCCATGGTAATGAGATGTGCCAATACTAATACAACTGCATACCAAATATCATTGACTTACCACTAGTGGTTCACCATAAACTAGACCTAATCACAAACTAATACATTGTTGACGCTGCCGCCTCTGCCGGAAACAGCATACCTCTGTCAAGCGAGACAAAAACAAAGTCCATCTATCAGAAAAACACTAAAAATGAAAATAAATTGCTTCGCCGAGCACAGCTGGATACAACCGCAGAAGTCCAACCCTGAACAGTTGGGTCAAAAATGAACACAATATTCGAGCTTGATACAGGTCTGAATTTGGATTGAAATTAAATGTTTGACACATAATAGGTTTCTGACACAGAATAACTGTAGTCAAAGAACTTAGAATTGGTTATATGATTTGAATTTATATTCAATTTTTTGCTTATGTGCAATTCACTATGCTGTTGCGAATTGCACCCGCCCCCCGCCCCCCACCCCCACCCCCCCCACCCCCCAAAAAAACTTACCCCCCTTTTTTTTTGCTTTTGTGCAATACACTATGCTGTTGCAAATTGACCCCCCCCCCCCCCCCCCAAAAAAAAAAAAAATTTCACCCCCCCTTTTTTTTTTTGGAAAACAATTTTTTTTTCACCCCACCCCTTTTTTTTTGCAATTTCTGAAATCTAATGAGAAAAAAAAAAATTGTACCCCCTCCCCCCCTCCCCTTTTTCCAAAAAAAAAAATCTTTCCCTCAAGATATGGTCATTATCTCAATTAAAATTTCCAATGGAGTTTGCAACCATAATTACCCATTTAAATACATCATAAAAGTCTTAAAATAGAAAATGACATACATAATCATGTCTAAAAATAATATATCTTTAATCAGCATTTTTATTATATTTATTAGTAACTTCTAAAAATAAATTGACAGCTAATCACCTCAAGACAATACAAAATTTCTTTATACATAATTTTGAAGCAGTGTAAGGGAGGTAATCCAAATTTAACATTGTACTTAAAAGTGATTGTCCATTAACAAGGAAACCCTTGTTTTTCCCCCTTTTTTGCCCCTAATTCCTAAACAGTTTGAGCCATTACCCCCCAAAGCCAATCCTAACCATCCCTTTGTGTTATGGAAACTTGTTGTACAATTTCAGAGAGATCCATACACCATTCCACAAGTTATTGTCTGAAACCTAGAAAAATGCTTATTTGGGTCCCTTTTTTGGCCCCTAATTCCTAAACTGTTAGGACCATAACCCCCAAAATCAATCCCAACCTTCCTTTTGTAGTTATAAACCTTGTGTTTAAATTTCATAGCTTTCTATTTACTAATACTAAAGTTATTGTCCGGAAACCAAGTGTCTTCGGACGAAGACGTGATACCAATATTTGACCACAAAAATTTTTTGCGGTCGTATAAAAATATCTTTCAAAAGTTTGCTTCAGACATTATCTCTTAATTATTATAAAGCTTCTGCCAAAGTTTCATAAAACTCTATGAAGGTTTGAAAAAATAGTTGATGTGTAACAAACTTTAACCCCAGACTATCTTCTTGTTAACTGTAAAAAAACTTATCCATTTATCAGTAACATACAGAAAAAAGAAAATAAATATTTAAAAAAATTGCTATAGATACTGTATTATGGTCATAAACAAGCTTCTTATTAAATTTCATATATTTCCATGAAGGTTTGACAAAGTTAGTGATGACTGAAAAACTTTAACCTCAGACTGAGCCCGAGTGTTTAAATAAAAAATTAAGTCCATTTATCAGCAAAATACAGAAAAATGAAAATAAATATTTTCAAAATTTTGCTCTAAAGACTGTCTTTTGGTCATAAACTAGCTTCTGTCCAAATTTCATTAAATTCCATGTAGGTTTGACAAAGTTATTGATGTCTAAAAAAACCTTTTAACACAGACTGAACCTAAATGTTGACGCTGCCAAAGGAATCTAGGATCGCTGTCTCTCGCTTTTGCGAAATAAATTTTGCAGGCGCAACAAAAATCACACACATTACTTTGTAGCATGGAGTATAATTATCATAATTAGAACTAGAACACACCCGCAATATCACGGATCCGTGACTGAATTAAAGTACCTACGCTTCTTTTTAGCCTGGATTTTTAGTATTCTTATTGTCATCTGATATAGTCATGCTGATTGTAAGGTGCACAGTTTTCCTTTGGTAATCTAAATTATGTGGAAAACAAAAGGGCCTAAAATGGTGTAATTTTAAACAACACCATTGTCCTATATTAGTTATACATAAAGTTGAATTCTTTGATTTGTCGTTTTTATGTCATGCCGGGTAACAAATTGGAACTTGTTATTATAGTAGTATAGATGGAGCATGTATACCTTGAGGGAATGATTTACAGCTTACCTGGCAAATATAAAACATAACATTGGCTTTATACTGTTCTTTATATACATTAAAATGTTTAATTCCTTCTATGAATTCGCAAAGCAAAGTATTTCAAACAACAATATAGACTACGATTTAAGCACATCACAATAATTTGTTGTGACTTTATCATTACAATCATAACATTATAAATTAACTGTAGTCATAGCAATAAACAGCATTTTAAAAAGTTTACATGTATGTCAATATATAATCTTGTACTCAGGAAGTGTGGGTTGTCTGAATGTGAGAATCATTAATCAGTCTATCAGGATAAACAATTACCGTTCTGTTTATTTGATACATGATGAAAACTTGATTTTGATTTCAGTATGCACCATCCTTATTAACAAAATTTGTGGTAAACCCTGATGAAGCACAACATTGTGGTGTTAATTTAATGGTCAATCCACTATAAACTCATATGCGTCACATTCACTTGCATTGATATATAATTACAAGCACATATAAATGGAAATCTGAATTTATGAAATAAAAAACATAAATCATTCTTTTGTCTTGATTTGGATAATTCACGTTGATTTTAGCATTCCATGAGATCTAAACTTTACGGCCCAAGAACATATACTCTCTTTTGACATTTTTTAAGGGTATATAAAGTTGGAAGGCAATAAAAATGAATAATTTATAGGTAGAAGCATTTCAAATGAATTTTGAAACAATAATAACTTATTATTTTTCAATCTTATTGTTTGCATTAATAATGGTTTTTTCCTTTATCCTTTAGCAATAAAGTTAAACAAAGCTTTATTGCTATTTATATTTATGGATACTGACCAGTAGATTTTGGAAATCTTTCTATAAATGGTACATAATTTCAAACTTTAACCCTTTCTAAATAATTTTTCACTAAAATTTCACATTTGTGTGATGTAAAATATTTCATCTTCTAATACTTCTATTTAAAGGTAGCATGCTAGCCTCTCCAATAAAAAACATCTTTCAGTTTGATATTATGAGCTATTTTAGCAAAGCAATGTTGCAATAATGAAACCCAAAGCCGTCATGTACCATTACAATAAAAATGTATCACTGACACAATAACTATGCAAGTTACAATGAACACAATGTCCAATTAACATTAATCTACATGATAATTACATATACATTTTAAATAATATTGTCAGTGTCCACAATGTTATATATACAGATCATGTTCCTTCTGTGATGGACTTTGGTATCTTGCCATCAGCTGATGGTTCCATGTTCACAATAACAAGGTAAACAAAGAAAGCCACCAATAGGAAAATAACAAGCTTGACCCACATTGGTATTCCACCACCAGATTTCTCTTCTGTTGTGGATGTGGTCTCTGAAGATGCTGTAGGTGATGATCGTTCTGTCTTTCCTCTTGTTCTATAAATAAACAATGGTGATTGTTTGAACATGAAATATGCTGTAACTTGACAAGGTATCTGATCATGATAAAGTATCACAACAACATGTTTCCAAGAAATTTCCATATTACTTTCACAAGTAAAGTTACATTTTTACAAAACAGAGGTCACCATATTTTTATTAATTCAGGAAAAGTGACTATCTCCTGGCAGCCAGACAGGGTGAAATGACAAGGTAGGTTGACTTCAGTAAGAAGTGAAAGTCAGTTTTGTTTTAATTGAAATTCAATTCAAGAATGTATAATTTGAGAAATTGAAACAAAGCATTTGCATTAATATACACTGTATATACTGGAAATTAACATTCTAATGCAATTTGGCATGTAACCCCAATTTTGATTGGATGACCTCTGCCATCAATTCCATGGTTGACGGTCGGAGTCATTGGCAACAATTTTGCGCAATCGCAGTTGAAATTTACAGGATATTCAAAATGTTTATTGATGAGCATTTCAAGAGTATTGCATTAGAATAGGAATAACAGTACTGTATTTTTAATAGTTGCGACTGTCAATTTTTTATTTCACAGTTGCAAATATCAGTATAAACTGCTTCGCCAAGCGCAGCTGGATACGACCGCAGAGGTCCAAACCTGAACAGTTGGAGCAAAAATGGACACAATATTCAAGCTTGATACAGGTCTGAATTTGAATTGTAATTAGATATTTGACACATTATAGGTTTCTGACACAGAATAAATGTAGTCAAAGAACAAAGAACTTAAAATTGGTTATATGATTTGAATTTATATTCAATTGAAGATTTCTTAAATCTTGAAGAAAAAAAATTGACGCCCCCCCCCCCCCCCCCCCATCCTTTTTCCAAAAATAAATATTTGAAGAAATTTTCTTGTTAATTTCTTAAATCTTGAGGATAAAAAATTGTCCCCGCCCAAAAAAATTTTTTTTTACACCCCCAATTTTATTTTTACCCCCCCCCCCCCCCCCCCTTTTCCAAAAAAAAAAATCATTTGAAGAAAATTTTCTTTTTGTAAAATGTGGTACATTTTAAGACATCAATACACTTAAACACAAGTTATTGTCTGAAAACTAGAAAAATGCTTGTTTTAGACCCTTTTTAGCCCCTCATTCCTGAACGGTTTGGACAATTACCCCCAAAATGAATCCCAACCTTCGACTTGTGGTATTGAACCTTGCGGTACAATTTCAGAGCAATCTATATACTTATACACAAGTTATTGTCCTGAAACTAAAAAAATGCTTGTTTTGGGCCCCTTTTTGGCCCCTAATTCCTAAACAGTTGGGACCATCACCCCCAACAACAATCCCAACCTTTCTTCAGTGGTATTGAACCTTTTGGTAAAATTTCATAGAGATCCATACACTTAAACTTAAGTTATTGTCCGGAAACCAAATGTCTTTGGACGACGACGCAGACATGATAGCAATATAAGACCCCAAAAATTTTTTGCGGTCATATAATTACTGACTTTGCTCCGTGTCTCCAGTAAAACTGCATTTGTGACTGTCAAATACTCAACTGATGGTCGCAACTATTCAAATACAGTCCTGTTGTTCCTTAATTCACATATGCCACTTTTGTGCATTATTTTTCACTTGGACTCAAAACATCTTGTTTTGCTTGTGTCTTTTGTTATTTTCATACACACACAGATTCTAGTAATAATCAGCCCTCTCCAATCAATATTTAATTTGGACAAATGGCAGATCACAAAATTTACCTGATTATAAACAATCTATGGCACGAAACATGGATGAAATTAGGATGTTTATACTACAATATATGTGAAAAACATTAGTAAGATATTATTTTAACCATGGTTTAATCAAATACCATATTTATTTCGTTCAAAAGCTTAATCGTTTACTGAAAACTGGTATAAAAATGGCCAAAATGAAAGAGCTTTTAAAAAGAGAAATGCGAGGACACCGTAGCATCAACCATGGAATTGTAAACTTTTATTTGTAAAATAAAATATATGTATCATTGATATTAGTTTATCATAAGTCTCACTGTGAACGTATTTTGTTACACATTATCATGCTCCTTTAATTATATACCTTGCAGTCAGTGGACGCCTGGTTAATACAGGATTCTCTGTGATTTTTTGTTCTACTGGTTCCTCAACAGGTTCGTCAACTGGTTCTTCTCTTTGAATTCTTCTTGGTGGAGGACGCCTCCTTGGTGATCTTGGCTTAACAGGTGGTCTAAAATTGATCATGTTCGAGGAATTAAAACAACTTACAGATGTTATTTATAATAGCTGAAGCATGAGCTCACAAAAATATAACCTCAGAGCTCCAGATAAGAATTCACAAATTGGGGTTTTTACCCACCATTTTTTTATGTAATTGGGTGATAAAGTTTTTAAATTGCATTATCAATTCCAATTCACCCCTCAAGCAAATATCAAATTGGGTTTTTCACCACCAAGCTCCTTAATGTATTGGGTTTTTTCATCAACACAATATTGAATGTTTAGGCATGTTATAATCACATTATATCAACCCCATGCAGATGTTTTTCCATCTTAAATGTGTTTCTTTCTTTGTATATATGCTAACTGTTTTATTTGGTTTATTCACTGACGAGCAATTGTACGTTTAATTTGTGTCCTATTTTAAACGTTCTGCCAGTTTTGTATTTTCTCACAACTTATATAAACTGCAGCTGGTGTCACTAGTTGGACAGTTACTAATTACCTTTCTAGATCCCATATGATCACCCTACAGTTTAGTTGGGGTAGGCGTGGCTAAGTGTTCAGATTTTTATGTAATATATGTGAAATTTAGGTGCTGTAAGAAAGTTTTGCCAGTCCTTTCACCTATTTGCCAGATCTACTTTTTAATAAAAATAATAAGTAGTTCCCAGATTTAAGATATACCCCAAAACCTTGACCAGGTTTATAGGTTTAATGACGGAGACCACATTCAACTTAAATTTACAGAGTTAAATTTACAAATAATTCTGCAACATCAAATAAATAAATGACAATGTTAAACTGCACTTGCCAATAAGACAACTATCATAAGCATACAGAACAATAAGACCAAAACAAAGAAAGTGTCAAGATGCATTGACGTAAAAAACAGATATGTGTATTCACTCATCAACTAAAATGAAAAAAATAATATATAAACTAAAATTATACTTGAATGTTTTTGTTTAATTTAATTTACATAAATCTGGGTTAAGTTGTCCCAGCTGATGAGAACTTTTGGTTTCTGATGCTTTCCAACTACATACATCATGTCATAATTGATTTGGCCTTTCACTTTTTCCAACTGATTTCGTTCTTGACAAAACCCCGTGTTTATCGTTCTAGCAATGTTCTCGTTAAGGTACACAAACGGGTCTTGTTATCATCATAATAACTTTCCCTAAAGTATCAAAAAGAAGCTGAAAACATGCTTCTATTCAATATTTTTATTGGATATTTACTTTCAATTTAATTCATTGTATGTTATGATAAATCCCGAGCAATTCGAAAAAAATATGACAACAAGACAAACGCTAATTGGATAAACGCCGAGAAGATCGAAATGTTTTCATAAACACGTGTACCTTTTGAGCAACGGAAAATTCCAACAGGGACCCATTTCGGCTACTTGATGCAGGGCTCTATTTTTAGAACGAAAGGACATTTCCAATTATAAATATTATAAAAATAGATTTACGCGATGACTGTAATCAGATAAGGGTAAATAACGCAAACGATAGCGAATAAAAGCGTTAAGAACTCATGGTTTTGGCATATAATTGGGTTTTCCTTTGAATGAATTGGGTTTTTGAACCCTGCAATGGGCAATTGCATTGGGTTATTAATTATTTGTATTGCGTGATCACGCAAATACGCAGCTTATCTGGAGCTCTGTAACCTGATTGTCTGTTACCACCTTGGAAACAGCAGTGACTTTCTTGTTTACATGCATATGTTGTTTTCAGATAACTACTCCAACATATTGTGGATTATTAATCTTTCTGGTTTTGAAGTTTATGTTTTATTCGCATGTTTTCACATTTTAAAGACTTTGTAACATCTGTAAACTTGCATAGTAGTTTTTACCATCTCCTTACAGATTCCAAAGTTTTCCTTTGTATTTTTTTTTTAAATACTGTTTCTTAACTAAGATATTACACCATTATAAGGTAAAATGATATTGTCCAGTTAAAATACAAGGACCATATACATGTGTACAGCATATGTAAGTAAACAAATTTTAGGTGCAAAATATTGTGCACAAGGCTACACAATTTTTCTAGTTTTCTTATCCTATTTCTTATATGAAATTCTGATAAAGACTTCATTTAATTTCTATCCCCATACTTACACCAAGTTCAAATTCTAAAAGGATTCCAGAAATTTCAATTTTTTTTTCAACTGTATATGGCTAGAATATACCTTTTCCAAATTATATTACACCTTCTTTATGACAAACTGTTTTCTACCTGATATTGACAACAGTTGATTAGTAATCTAAACATAGAATAGCAAATAATCCTTATTTGCAGTTGGCGGTATTTTGTGCAACTGTTAAAGCTTCCATAGAAGGCTGTTTCCAGAGCAATATATATTATTCACAGTTTAAAATGATGAAACCTTGACCTTAAACGATGCCCCAAAAATATTAAAAACATATCTTTCATTTTTTGAGGATTTTAATTTTTTTTTTCTATATTTACAGTTCATAAGGTTACTTACTGTTTATCTTCATCATCTGGTACTTCATCTACAAAAATAAAAATAAATAAAAATTTGGTACTTGATTGAAAATTTGCTGAATTTGCCATTTATTTGCATATTTTTATTGTCTGGGTTGAATTTATGCCTTGTTGGCACTTGGTTTTACTTAGAGCTTACTATAGTGTAAGTATCTGATTATTGTAATGACCTTTAAATTTTAAAGTTGAATGTCAATAAACTACTATTTCTGTGATGTTCCCCCCTTACCTTTTTTTATTCATAAGCCTTCTGTTGTCACAAATTCATCCGATCTGCCAATTTTTTGGTTGATCAAAAAGTTGACTTAGTTTTTTTTTTAAACTTAAGCCTTTAAAATTAGCATAAAAATAGTCCAGTCCAAATGACAATCTTAAATGTAGATTTCTATCTTTTTTCTACAATGCAACATTCAGTTCAACATTGTAATTCTGAATAGAAATTGTGCAACATTTAAATTCTGAATAGAGTTGCCCATTAGTACACGTAGGAGCTGCTGCACTACATATTCACATTAAGACATCGATACACACATTTCTCACAAAAATGTACAAACAGGGTATTAGCATGTCACTCTTTCATACTAATTATATGTATTATGTACATGTACAGTCAGAAAATATGAATGATAAGAGATTTTTTTATTGTTGAAGACCATATGTTGATTTTAAAATGTCTATTTTGTTTTTTTTTTAGTTCTTGGATTGCTGTCTCATCAATGTGTTCATATTGTCTTTAATAATAGAAAAGTGTCTATGCAATGCATCAAAGGTCTACCATTAATTTCAAATTCTCCACATGACATAAAAACATTTAAGACCTAATAAAACTGGTATCCTTAGTACTTACCATACCTCTGTTGAAATAATTTAGGTGAAACTTTTATAGCATCCCCTGAGCTCTGCCTCAGTTTCACTAATTTCTTTTCATACACTCTTCTTGTTGTAGCTGTAATAGTTTGTTAATCATTATGACTTAACATTAACAGTTGTATATCATAAAGCTCTACATGATTTTTTTTTACAATGGTATGATTAAGAAATAATTCATGGGGGTTTGAATTTATACTGATTTTACCACAGGTTGCCCCTTTATGCTAAATATTTTACCACGAACAATAGCGAGGGGTAAAATATCAGCATAAAGGGCAAACCCATGGTAAAATCAGTATAAATTCAAGTGCCCATGAATTATTTTTATTCTTATAGGACAAATACAGCAATTCTTTTGGATCCAAGTGCTCTAGGTGAAGGCAAATATTTGCCGTTCCCTTAAATAAACACTATTATATTGAAGTAAAAGAACGGAGCAAACTGAACTAGTGACATGCTTAACCTATTTACAATAACGCATTTGGATAGGTTTGGATGAATTAAAATGATAGTTTTACTTATATGTAAAAAAAAATTGGCTTATAACACATTTTGTCGTTTGTTTATGTTTCCTTGTTTTGATGACTTTCAGTTTCACAATCGTGCATTTTCCTGTAAAATGCTTATTTTCTTACGTCATCGTTCAATGACATAGGGTAGCTCATTCATAAAAAAGCATATGATGTGGGAGTATGATCGGAACAGCCCAAACAATATATTCATATTTTACCATGGGTTTGTACTCAAAGCATTTGAAGAACGTCATATTAGAATGATTAATTATGGTAGAGTAAAATAAAAATCTAAAAAATATATACATAAACATTGTAAGATTATGTGTGGAGTATAAAATCTGCCAGTTAGGGCCATTCTGGGTTGATTTTTTACCAATACATGTACCTACATGAATAAATCATTTACAAATTCCATCAAAACAGTGATATGGTACATGCATGTTCATTCAAGGCTGAGCCCTTATGCTAATGTACTATGGGTACTTTTATATGGTACCGGTATAAACATTTCTACACATCTGTTCAGACTTGTAATGTACAGTACATGTATACTTATGTCACTCATGGATTCCCATCAATTCAATTTCCATTGATTGCTTAGGACAATTTTTTCTGAGGGCTATTCCATTAAAACATATATGGGACTCAGGGAAGGCACTTTGAAATCATACTAAGGGTGGTGTCAAATAGAGAGAAAATTTGCCTATATAGGTTGTTACCTTATTTTTGACAGTGTCTTCCCTGGGTACCATGTACCGGTATGTTTAAATGGAACAGCTCTGACATTGGTGGATACAAGCCATAAATGTGGCTTTTTACCACTAAGCAACTCTTTTAATGATCAAACATCAGTCAGAGCTCTGACATAAACAATTCTGAATTGTCAAGACTTCTGCAAGTCAGATTATGCATTTTTACAATGGAGTAATAGCATTTTTTTTACTTTATAAAGTCAGAATATGACAGACTTATTCAGGTCAGAATATGTTCAGTGGATTGTGAAGTTTCAGTATTTTAAGATTTGTAGCAAACCTATTCAATAAATTACCATGAATATTTGTATGATGCATTACAATACCAAAATCTATCTTTTCATGGTAGCTTTCAAGTAAATCCATTGCTTATACAGAATTTTTTTTTTACAATAAAATGGTATGTATTTGTGATAAATTGTAAAAATATAGTCATGGTTAATTTCATACGACTCTTGTTTTTTTAGGGTCTTATTCATATTTTTTGTAGATCAAAAAATGTTTGTGGAAGGCATTTTTAACATTGTCATGTGGATGCTCAACTTTTAAATATGGGTGCATATTTGTAAAAGTCAGTTTATGTTTAAAAATGATGGGAGGTAACTCATGACACTAAATATTCTGACTTGTTTATGTCAGAGCTCTGACTCGTATGCATATCACTTTCATTTAAAATTATTAAAATATTAGACTTGAACAGATCTAGATTTGCCACTGCCTATTGGTAAAATTTGTCTCTTTTTACAAATGATCATACATAACATCCATAACAGTATCATAATTTTTTGTTATGACAAACAAGTATTTTTTATGGTCTGTACCTACTTCCAATAGGCCCAGGTGTAAAACCTAAAAGGCGTAGTTCATTTGCCAACTCTTTATCTGACAAATCTTCAGCATTGATAGTCATGGCTTCCTTTGTCTCTTTCTGTGGTTCTTCAAATGAAACCTGCAGAAGAAACCATTCAGTATAACTAAAGCAAAAATATCATTACGTGAAACTAAAAGTCTTTTTTATTATATACATTTTGTAGAAGTGTGTTCGAGAAAAAATTTGTAAGGGGTTCCGCAGAACCCTGTGTCTCGCCTGCGATTGCTGCTGTCAGTGTAAAAGTGTAATGTTGACTTAAGAAATGAGTCCATTTATCAGTAAAATACAGAATTTTAAAAAAAATCAAACTTTTTCTTTAGATGCTATTTCATGGTCTTGAAGATAAGCTCTGTCCAAGTTTCGTAATAATCCATGAAGGTTTACAAATTTATCATGTCAAAAAAGTTCAAAATGAAAAAATATTATAAATTTCATGCGTCCAGAGTGCTTTTCTGGATTTACCCTCATCAGGAACTCTCAAAGTCAAATATTAGAAAGCTAAGGATGTATAAGAACTGAAACAGTTGAAGAGCTACGTGTATGTCCAAAAAGGACCTTAAAATAATTTGTCAGATCTGAGACTACTATAACACAGAGATTGGTCACTTCCCGTACTGACCAGTCAAATGGTAATTAATTGTAAGTCTTCGATCACGTGACTCGGCACGTGACTCGCAATGATTGACAAGAAGGATTCGACCGCCATTTTTGACAGCGAAAGAGAAAATAATAATTAACAAATGTGGATTTATAAAGAGTGTTATGTTCCGGTAAGTGTGAATATAAGATTTGACATGTTCATAAATGTTGGTTTATAAGCACTTTAAATAAAATAAGTGCAGTTATAGACTTGAATTTACCGACCAAACCGGAAAATAACCTCGAGTTATTACCAGTCCGTTGGACAGGGTCCATGAGCAACTCACCCATAACTTACATTCAGATGAACAATCTGTTTTCCGGATAATGTATGTGCAAGCCTTAGTAATTAACCGATGTAATGATGTAAAATTTGTAATTATATGAAATTCCAATTTTTCTGTATCAGTAAGTTCCCGCTGCAGAACTGAGAAACACACGAGACAAGTTGCACACACACAACATGAGGTCTGATAGGTGAATTTGTATTGTTAGTGAAAGAAATTTAGATTTATATTGGTTCCCTTGATAATATATATGCAGTCTATACATGCTAGTATAATAATATTATGCAATGAAAATGTGTCACCATGTGAAATACCAGTACATCATGAGTTCCTAAATAGACGTATTTTTTTTAAATAATTGACCCAAACATGATGTAAAAAGTACATGCACCTTTGGTCTGCATCCTTCATCAGTTTAACTATTTTGATCCATATTGACATGATTGGTCAATTACTGCTGAGTCTCAAAGTCTCAGATTACTGTCTTAAAAATTAATGAATTGCCTATGCTATAAACTTGACAAAGATTATTTCTTTTTATTTATAATATATTCTTTATTGTAGGAATACCCCCAGAAAGAAATCACGCATTAGAAGAAGGGAGAAGTACTACAGGAGAAAATGACTTTTTTTAGTATTTTTTTAATTTCATTGAATTTGTCATGCTTGTCTTACATGGAGAAATAAATATTTAAGTCTTTGAATATACATTTTTATTATTATATACATTAAAACTAAGACAGGAATGCAGAAATTCACTAACACACTCAGTTTGGAAAACAGTTCAATGAAAGAAAAAAAAACAAGTAACCACACATCTTTATATATTAAAGGAATAGCCACTTGAAGCAAACTTTAAGGAGATTTTTATATATTTTTGCTAATGATCATCAGACAACTCCTTTAGTCCAAATGAAGTTCAGTGAAGTGGATGTAAGTTATTGGAATGCACCGTAATTACCTTCAACAATGAGAAAACCTATACCGTGCAGTCAGCTTCTAAAGTCCCCGACATTGGAAAATATATAACAATTCACTAGAGAAAACGAAGTGTCTACAATAACCAAGCAATTTACGAAAATTCAAATATGACGGACATGAACCAACAGCAACCACTGAATTACAGGCTCCTGACTTGAGACGGGCACATAAAGAATGTGACAATGATAAATATTTTTAGGCGCTCATCACCACCACTAGCATGGGACATTGGTGTAACGACATAACATAAAACAAACTTTAAACATAATTTGAAAATAGTTCATTTCTGTTTAATCAGGCTGACTGTACATGAAATATTTGCCATTGACAAGCAGTTGTGAATCGAAGTTGAATTTACAGAAAGGTGACATCAATATATGCTATCATATTTAACATTCTTGTTTAGATCTGACATTGCTACGTATTTATACATTCCGCATTATTTTTGGCTTCTCAGAATTTTCACATGGTAAACTGTCAGCAGTTACCCAACAAAAAAATGTTATAGGGAACCTATTTACAAAGCATCATGCCGACAACAATTAACATGGTTTGTCACCAAACATTGAACAAGCACATTAATTTTATATTTGCTGTGGCTAAAAAAACTAAAGCAAATCACAACTCTTTTCATCTGAGTTGCTCAATTATTAGGGTTACAAAAAGCATAGCGATATAACTAAAACATACGACACTTTAACAATAGACAATATTCAAATTTTCAAAAACTTTACGGCTCTGTATTGAAGCACAAAATTTCTTGTCCGGGATTTTGAAAGAGGGCACATATTTCTGGTGTTGAAAAAATGTCATCGTAATTTACACTAATGGGGTTCTATTTATGTTAACATAGAGATAATTTGATTATTCAGTCACGTAATTTTGAAGCTTCTTCGTTCTGATTTACATGTACTTGCGGTTGATGCTTCTTTTGGAGTTTTTGTAGTTTTTGCAGTCTTTGCAGCAGGGACGTATATAGTCATCCTCAGATTCAATATCTGATGCAGTATATTCACCACGTAAAAGATCAAGATTGAGATCACTATCATCCCAAGATAAAAAATCAATGTTACTGGACATTGTGAATTGAAAAATGAAAATGCCGGCGATATTTTGGGAACATATATATAATTTGTAGGGCTTATGTTTGCTGCTTTATGTATCCATTGCAGTTATAACCTCTTTCCTGATCTGTTACGTAAGGAAATTACTCATTTACCTTTAATGAAATTTTTTCTCTCTTCTGTGATCGCCGCTTATTACATTGTTTGCAAAAACTTGACCTAATTATCAGACGGAAATTTAAAAAAAGTGGGGGCGGGGGGTTGAAACTTGTTTGAAAAAAAAATTCACGTTGGAAAATCTGAATGAGGGTCTGGATGGGGTTCTTTATTTCCTATAATTTCTATGCCATTTTTCTCTATTCTTTAAATCTTAATAACTTATTATTTTCTCTTCTCTATTCTTTATTTGTCGGTCCATTTTTCTCCATTCTATATTTTTTTTGTCCCTATTTCTCCATTCTATTAAACCCCATCCACACCCTCCTGAATCCTACCACAAGTGCACCGACGATATTTGACAAGGTTTACTACAATAAACATGTATATTGGGCACTCAGCAGTGAAATACCTTACAAGTATAGAATAAAAGTTTACTGCAATAAACGGAGCCTCGTGTACCTTGGGCACCCAGCTGTGAAACAAAATTCGTCTCCCATGCTTATGAGACTACCTGTCTTTACAGGTAAAATAATTGTATATTAGATACAATTAATGGACGTGTAGCAAAACAATGTAACTGTAAGATTGATAAGATTAATCACATTCACATTTTCAAGAGTGGCCGCATAATAACAAACTATTAACAAATTATTAATGATTAAAAACAAAAATTTAAATATGAATAGATATAACTGCATTTGAAAGATAAAAACTATATTCTTTTTTTTTTTTGATTAATTCAATTTTGTTTTTAAATTATTTTTAAAAGAAAAATAATAATATCCGCTACTGTTATAGTATTCTCAGTGATAGGTGATATATGTCGTCTGCTACGGTCGAATACGAAACTACGTTAAAATAACGTAGCTAACTACCGGAGACTCAGATAATCCGATAAATCTATAGTGACCAATCTCTGTGTTATAGTAGTCTCAGGTCAGATCCATCTTTATTTTTAAAGGTCAACTTTGCCTGAGGGAGAAAAAGTTATTTTAAAGATTATTGGAATAAAACAAATACATGTGTACGGTTAACTTTTTATTCGCTAGTAACATAGGTTTTGCCTATTAACATATTATCTTTTAATGTATACCGTTTCAGACTCAATGTCAGAATTGGAGTTTTGTTCGTCTTCACTTTCGGTTTCCTCAACCTCTTGTTCAGAACTTCCTTCAACGAACTCGTCTTCGAAAATACTAGGATCGTTTAATTGACTAATGTGTTGCTCATAAAGATCAACCAAAACTTGCTTTTTAGACGTAGAAGGTGGCAATTTCACGTTAAAACGTATAAGTTCTTCTTTCAGTTTTGCTTTTGTCAATTTGCTGGGATCTGTAAAAATGGGCATTTTGATTGGTTATTGTCTGTGTTGTAAAGATGGCGGGAAATAAAAGCCTATTCCGTTTTATCTTACGGCTAATATGATTGGCTTAAAAATTACGTCTAAAGTTTAACACAACACCAAGAAAGAATTAAGAACAACCAAGGACATTGATGAATGTGACTAGAAGTTTTTTTCATCACATAAAAACCGTCAAATGGTCATTTACTAAGCACAAAATAAAAAAATGGTAATAGGCACAGCCAATAAATACGACTATCAAATTAAAGATCTGCCATAAATGCCAAATATCCCAAAATAACAAGAAAGTTAATATTAAGATACGACAAAAGACAACCGCTGGTTTTCATGCTATCTCATTCGATGAAATCCTTTTTATTATGTCGATCATCGAAATAACAAAAGGCAAATAAAGGAATATAACAACCGGAAGTTAAACACTGTGTTACCTTTAAAACTAAACCAAAGTCATTGCACTAAATGGTCCTAAATGCGCATATCGATAATAAATAATATGTCTCTTTGGTAATCATGGCTCGGGTGAGGCCAAACCGGCTCATGATTGGAAATCCATTGAAGCCTGATTCAAACGTTGAAAAATGACTAGTAAAACCAAAAAAGAATCAAAAGTAAAGTAAAACCTGGACAAGGAATCGGAGCTATGCATGAGGCAAACACATTCTTGTATTCAAAATTATTTTCCAAATTTTATAACAGCAAAAATTAAAGTATTATGGCTAATTCCACCTGAAGTTTATTTAACACAGGGTATTTTTAAAATTCTTTCAATCTTTACTCAAATTAATAGTATTACAGCCAAATATGTATACTTTAAGGTACTAACTATGTCTTGGCTTACTTCTAAACAGGTCATCATATTATAAAAGCCTGAAGAATGCTCAAAACAGCAATTTTGAGAGATTTTGGAAAATTTTTAGTTTTTCTCCCAAAAATGTCCAAGAACATCGTTAACCAAAACCAAAATTAGTTGGAAGTAAAGCTACGTACTTTCCTTCGGCAACCAATTCATTCATTTTGTTTAGCCATGTTCTTCGATGCACAATTTGACAAAAACACGTAAAATTTGTTTTAAAATGTCTTCAACAGACAGCAACATGTACGTAGAACTGAATAACGTTTTGATTTTATCAAGGAATTTTATAGTAAGATACTATTTACTATTTACATCCTTGATTTTATGGAAATATGTAATATGGGTAACACTTTTTTAAAAATATGATATAGATTATCTAATATTCAATCTTCCAGTAGGATTTTACAACTTTTGGAATTGGACGCCCTGCTCCTTTTAAATTTACACTATCCGTATTTTCATCGGCATGCCATGCCGAAGAACAAATTTTAATATAACACAAGTAAACTTAACATGAAAAAAATTGAAAAGGTGAAGCATTGACTACATAAGGGCCAACAACCCACCAGCGAAATCAAAATAGAGCATATTGTTTTTGCTAGTTTGAATTCGCTAGACGCTTGAAAGAAAGAACCATTTCAACTCATGCCTGTAGCTCTTGCTGTTGAAAGATGTAAGTACTTTCATTAGTTTGAATATATCTTTTTTTGTAACAATAGTTTAGTTATATTTACGACGTTACTATAACAGGTAGGATGAGAAATACCACCTACTGTTTAAGAGAAACATTGTGATTACAGATAAAATGTAGATAACGACTTTATTTTTTTTTTATAGTATTGAAATTTTTTAGTATCTGTAACCCTTTAAACGTAACTTGTGGTAATGCAAGATTACAAGCATTAAAAAAACTTCATTATAACATAATATAATTATGGATTGTACACACCATAGGATGCAACAAGATGAACATGGCCATAACAAAGTTTGTCATGTACGTATATAAAAGTAAGGAGATGAGGTATGATTGCCAATGAGACAACTATCCACCAAAGTTCAAACACAGAAGGGGGAAAATATGATAACCCAAACTACCAGTTATACCTTAAAATGCCCGACAATATTTCATACTGTTATTATCTTTATTTAACTGAATTTCTTTCGGATAAATACATTCAGCATGTTTGATAATCTCAGGATTGGCAACCGTACGTACACTCATCAAGCTATCTGATATTATTGTTAAACTGTCCATTAAATTGTCAGATTTTCAAAAAAATTTACATTACAGAAAGTTTTCTATGAAAGAATATCCATAACAGTTAGGAAACAGATCGACCATTATAGGTGCACATTTGGTACCCATTGGAATTCTGATAAGTTGACGGTATGCAGTCAAAAATATTTTTAAACGAGCGAAACTTAAAGCCCTGATCGTGTACGTTCATATTCTGGAACAATGATTTTTTTTTCACGAGAATGACCGTGAGGGAATCCGAAGATTTCCAAGTTATGCTATCCACAGTTGATTTATTATAATCTAATTATGTATTCAAAACTGATTTAAAACATATACATGTATACGCTTGTGCAAAGTTGTCGTTTCATGCAAGTAATCATCGATAAAATATTCACAGACTAATTGTACGCCTGAATGTGTTATTTCATACAAAAAATATTCTTGATACTTGTGGTTATAGTAATATCTGGTTACTGTACAAACTGACTTTAGCACAAAATGACTAAATGATAGTTTAAAGCAAAAGTTATTTGACCAATTTCAACAGAACTGGCTTTCAGATATATGTAATTCGTCAAAAGGTTTATGATACAGATTATATAAGGATAAGTTTGAATTCGAAAAAATATTTAGATATATTACCAGATAGTGATAGAGTTATATTTTGTAGATTTAGAACTGGTAATCATAGATTACCAATTGAAACTAATAAATGGGTAGGTTTAGATATACAAAAAAGATATTGTAATTTATGTCAATGTCAAGAATTAGGTGACGAATTTCACTTTCTTTTGAATTGTAGATCTCTAGACGACTCAAGAAAACTCAGTGTTTTTTTAATAAATTTTATTGTAACAGAGTAAATGTAATTCAATTTTGTAAATTATTACAAACAACACATAGAAATAGATTAAAAAATATATGTAAATTTACACAGGTTATAAATTCACTAGCAGGTTAGCCTTTGTCTGCTTAGTATCTGTTATTCTATTATAATAACTAAATGATCTTGTAAAGTAATTGTAACATTCATAAACTGAGTTTAACTGTGCGTACTGGTGGCCTTCGGCTGTTGTCTGCTCTATGGTCGGGTTGTTGTCTCTTTGACACATTCCCCATTTCCATTCTCAATTTTAATTTTATTATCTTGTCATGTGCACAATTTATTTTGTATACTATGTATTATTATTTCATTCTATGGACCAATGTGTATACAGTAGAATGGAATTGTCTGTCTGTCTGTCTAGATATATGTATGCAATAATTTCATTTTTAAACAAATCTTTATTTTAGAATTATTGTTTCAATAAAAGTTTCAGTGGGCACCCATTTCTGTTTTAAAATCAATTCGTAATGTAAATCTAGTTTTAAAAAAGAATTTGAATGAAATTGTATAATGACTCAAACGTTTGTACTACTAATATATTAACATCAAAATTATACCATTGAGGTACTGTACGGCATCATGTCCATACACTTTTACACGCATTAGCTTTAGTATGTAGAAACATTGACTTTCAAATAAATGCTGGCATAGACGGTAGATATATTTTAGTTTAATTATGCTTTGTGATTATAGCTTCATTGTTGGACCGAGGTACAATTTTATGTCAAATCCTCAGCAAAATTATTTTTATGATTTCTTATCATGTATCCGCTGAATTGAGACTTAAAGAAACTTAATTTATTATTTTCCACCTCACTTTCCCCAAAATAAATGTCCCATACCAAATATCTCATTTGGAATAACATATACCCACTGCGTGACATTGGCAAATATAATCCTCCGTAGCTCCATATCGTTTGCTTTCAACGTTTTTTATGGGATAATTTTTGTTACTATCAATGCTAAATCCTATGGCAAATGCGTACTCACATTATCCGCTTAGACATAGAATGAGCATGGAAAAATATTCAGTAAATTTGGCATAGTATAAACCCTACAAACAGAAGCTCTAACGAACTTTTTGTCGAATTTCATAACGAATACCAAACAAATAAAACAACAGAATAAATTCACATATAAAACGGCATACAACTGAATACAGCCATGCAGCAACCTGGGACATAATATATGTCATATAGGTAACTCATGTAAGTATAGTATTCCCATCAACAACCACAAATTACAGATTTCTAAACGTTGAAGCTTATATAAAAATGTGTGGCAACCGCCTCGATCTGCGGACAATTGTATTTATTATACTTCATGTCAAAATGCCAGACTTTGATTGGTTTGATACGGGGGAGACAATTTACTCTATTACCCTTCACGGAGACGCTTGATCAAATGTGCGCTTTATTGAATACGGATGGTTGTTATGTACAAGACGTCATAGTGTATTTCTTTTAATTTGAAACTCAATAGACAGTAATATTTAGTTATTTATATAGTGACACACGACTACATGCCAACAGCGGTAATAATAAACGGTAAAAAAAGGCATTAGATCATATCAGAGACATTGTATTATATATGTCTCTGATCATATTAAGCTAAATTTTGGACGGTTGGTAAGAAATATGAAATAAAATTAATAAACAATTAAATAAAATGAGTTGTAGAACTGACTTGGGACTAATAGATAAAGGGACATGCAACTAAATTAATCAAGTTTTCAATTTCATTATCCCGCAAAGTTTACCTGTAAATGGCTGTTTTTGGGGGCATACATGTATGAGATCAAAATTTGAAAAATACAAAACAAACAAAACTTGGGAAGCATATAGAAAACAAAGAAATATGGTAACAAAATTAAAAAGAAAATCTGTGAATATTTATTTTCAAGAAAGATGTGCTGGAGGACAAAAATCATAACACTTTTATAATACAGTTAAACCATTTCTCTCTAAAAAGTCTACCTGCATCCGACAAAATATTGTACGAATGGAAGAAAATAAAATTTTAAACAACACTAAAGACGTTTGTGACAACTTTAATACTTATTTTGTTAATGTTGCCAACGACATAAGCAAAGGTACTATTTTTGAAGAAAAACACACCCTAGTATTTTGAAAATTAAAGCTAACATACAACATGATAAACTTTTTGATTTTAAACCTATACATGTTGACACTGTAGACAACTGGTGAAAAAAAATCAACATAAAAAAAGCTACATGAGTAGATCAGATATCATCTAAGCTATTACGAGCTGGGAGCACCAATACTTAACAAACATATAACAACACTTATAAATAATACTATAGAATCAAGTGAATTTCCAAACAGGCTTAAAGAAGCTCACGTCGTACCACTAAACAAAAAGAACGATCCACTTGATAAAAAGAACTACAGACCTGCGAGCATTTTTACCTACAATTTCAAAAGTATATGAAATGGTTATGTCTGACCAGTTAACTGAATTTTTTTTAAATATATTTCATGTTTTTTTTATGTGCATTTAGAAAAGGTCATGGATGTCAGACATTTTTACTGAGACTCCTTGAAGATTGGAAAATAGCTCTGGATAAAAATATGTATGTGGCAGCAATACTTATGGATCTTTCGAAAGCTTTTGACCGTCTACCACATGACATTCTTTTAAGTAAATTATCTGCCTATGGTCTTTCTTCAAAATCAGTGAAATTACTTCAAAAATGTCTTACAGATCGTAGGCAACAAATCAAACTTCAGGGACTACTCAGCAGTTGGGCTGAAATCCAGAAAGGGGCCTCTATTATTTAATATTTTTATAAATGACTTATTCTTTTTTATTGAACATGGAACCCTTTACAATTATGCTGACGATAATACTCTGTCATATGCTGACAACGATTTTGAAAAGTTATTATGTACACTTGAAAGAGAAAGTGCTGTTTTAATTGATTGGTTTAGATTTAATTGTATGCAGGCAAATCCTGATAAATTCCAAGCCATTGCAGTTGGAAATAAAACATTTGCAAAGGAGCCTGTTTTTAGTATACAGTCAGCTAAAATATCGTGTGATGAGATTGTCAAACTTTTAGGTATTGATATTGATTATCAACTAAATGTTAATTACCACATTAAAAATATTTGTCGTAAAGCATCTCAACAACTGAAGGTTTTAAAGCGCATTGGTTGCTATCTTACTGAATTAAATAGATTGACCATTTTTCACACATTTATTCTATCTAATTTTTTAATGTTTGTCCTTTGGCATGGCATTTTTGCAACAAAAATAATACCACTAAATTAGAAAAAAATCAAGAAAGGGCTTTACGATTTATATATGAAGACTATGTAAGTTCGTATGATGAATTACTTGTACAAGCAAAGTTTCATCACTGAAAATTAGACGTATGCGTAACATGGCTATTGAATGTTTTAAAATTTTATATATTAAGCATCACCACCGTGTTTATATGATTTATTTTAGTAGTTGTATTAAAAGATTGTACATTTAATTTTAGATATTCTAATATTGTAGATATACCTACTAGGGTTCGAACATCAACCTATGGTAAGAACTCTTTTAAATATAAAGCTGCTGTTTTATGGAATGATCTACATGATTTTAGAAAAATTGCTAATTTCAGTCAGTATAAAAATATTTTAAAGTCATGGAATAGAAATGACTGAAAGTGCACAGTTTGTGAAGATTATTAATTAATATATTATGTTCAAATTTTACCATTTAGATCATATCCTATTTTTAATATTTTATGTTATGCATTTTACCGGCTTTCTAATCATGCTTAGTTTACATTTTATATGATGCTTTTAGCTTTTACACCTAGTATGCTTTTTAGCTTTAATACCGTATGCTTTTTAGCTTTAATACATAGCTTATCATGCTTATAATCTGCTTATTACCACCATGTTTATAGTGCTTCATTTTGTGTTATGTAACTTATTGCATGCGTATTATGTATTGTATTGTTATGTCCGTTGTATGTCGGTTAAAGCTTATGTTATGTCCTTATTTGTATACTATGCCGACTCTAAATACAAAGCTTATTTATTTATTATTATTCGTATATCTCTGTTCAAACATTGGTTTACATTTTTTCAAAGTCCTCAGTCTAAGATTGCCAATTGATATTGATAAAAAGTATATGACATTGAAGATGAATGATTGTGCGGTGCTGAGAGCTTTTTTTTAATTTCCATAATTTCCGATTATTTAGTTGTTGTTCTGGTGACCAAAGTTAGAGAATATTTCATTTTCAAAGCAATTTTTCGCTGTATTAGTCCCAGAGCTGACTAACACTTTGAATTAACTACTTTGCTGTATATAATTGTTCACCGACTTAATAAAACAATAAAACATTTTTTTATATATATTTCATGCTTTTACGAACAGTCATGATCATAGCTTGTGACCCTGACTGGCTGGCTGCGTAAAACAACCAGGACCGGATAACTATTTTTCCACCACGGAGAAAGATTTTGAGATTTAGACTAAAATATCCAATTATCCAATGAAATTCCTCGATACATCTGAAACTTCTGTCTCTATTTTCGCTTTGTACTTTCGAATTATCGAAAATGAAGATATTGACATGGAATATTAATGGAATAAGGGCAGCTAAAAGAAATTTGAAAGACCTTTTTGATTCCTTAGACACGGATATAATATGTTTACAAGAAACAAAAGTCACCCGTTAGTGTCCTATCGATGTACATGTTTATTTGATATTGGCTCATTATTTATATAAAATATATAGTATACACCACAACATTTTATATTATGAGTACAGACATACTGGTTCACCTAAAAAAATCAATATGCGCACCAAATCCATGGCAGTATAATCAGTTCGTTCATTGTAGCCATTATCTGGCAGAAGCAGAAGTTTAAAGCAGGAACTATACATATTTTCGAACATCCTGGCACTTATTTTTCTAGGAGGTGATATTCTCAGGGTTTTACCTCAAACTCAGTTACTCTATGGGAATTCACCATTTTTATCTGCAATCTAAAACAAAATGGTAAAAGATATCACAAAGATATTTTAAAGTCATATCAAATATGATCAGGAGAATTGCAAAATCAATCTCAAATTAAATTTTAGTGATTCAACAAAAAATAAATTGATTTTTAAATTTGTATCATTATAAGTAAGTAAAGTAAGTAAATTATTTATTATAGTGACATGTGTAAATATGTACAGATTATAAACATACAATATATTATAAATATTAATATTAATACACCCGGCCCAATGGACCTATAAGTCACCTCAAATGAATTTAAATAATTATAAAACAATTTTATCACGTTCTTCAAAATAACAAATTATTCATGAAATTATCTTTTTGTTGACGAATGTTAATTTTAAAAAATATAAAGATATTAAGCTATTTGTAAACAGAATTTCGTCTTTTGAAATATGCCTGTACGATGTATTTGGCTAGTTTTCGAGTATGACTTATATTTAAAAAAATAAGCTTTTCATTATTGTCCATAGATATAAAGGAAGTATTATATATGGTAAAACCAGTTGATTTCTCCCTAGCTTCAACTCCAATATTTAAGTAGATAAACACAATCTAATTATCTGATTGGTCAATCTTCAGCTGTGATGCAAGCATGAAATTAGGTATAGATAAATATATTCTAAATAGATATAAGCAGATGTGGTATGAGTGCCAATGAGACAACTCTCCATCCAAGTCACAAATTGTAAGAGTAAACCATTATAGGTCAAAGTACAGCATTCAACACACAGCCTTGGCTCACACCGAACAGCAAGCTATAAAGGGCCCCAAAAATGACTAGTGTAAAACTATTCAAACAGGAAAACCAACGGTCTAATCTATATAAAAAACGAGAAAAGAGAAACACTTATGAACCACATCAACAGATGACAACCACTGAACATCAGGTTCCTGACTTAGGACAGGTGCAAACAAATGCAGCAGGTTTAAACGTTTTAATAGGCGCCAACCTTCACCCTAACCTGAAACAATAGTGTAACATCACAACATAGAAAGACACCATAAAACTGTATGCATAGTTTCAGAAAATTATTAGCTTATCTTGATTTTGAGATTCCTTTTTTTCGATCCCTCAAAAGGTGTACCAAGTTTCTATCCCCAAATCCTAAAAGATCCATGTACAAGCTAATAACTTCTTAACTATTTTTTCTCCACTAATATCATTTTATACTTTTTATTCACCTACTACTCTTTGTATCAAAAACCAAAGCTTTACTGACCAACATACTGTGGATTCATTATTATTTGTTTGGTACTCATTTCTGTGGATTTAGTGGGGATAAGTAAAGCTTTTTCAGTGTTCAGCAAAATATGAATTACCAGACTTCTGGAATTACCTATAGGCTTATACAATGTTGTATGCAGAATTTGTCAAAACCACAAAGAAAATCTATGAAAATACAATGTTTACCCAATCCATGAGAATTGGCATCCAATGAAAATAAATGATAAAATTGAGAATGGAAATGGGGAATGTGTCAATGAGACAACAACCCGACCATAGAACAGACAACAGCAGAAGGTCACCTACAGGTCTTCAATGCAGCGAGAAATTCCCGCACCCGGAGGCGTCCTTCAGCTGGCCCCTAAACAAATATATATACTAGTTCAGTGATAATGAACGCCATACTAAACTCCAAATTGTACACAAGAAACTAAAATTTTAAATAATACAAGACTGACAAAGGCTAGAGGCTCCTGACTTGGGACAGGCGCAAAAATGTGGCGGGGTTAAACATGTTTATGAGATCTCAACCCTCCCCCTATACCTCTAGCCAATGTAGAAAAGTAAACGCATAACAATACGCACATTAAAATTCAGTTCAAGAGAAGTCCGAGTCTGATGTCAGAAGATGTAACCAAAGAAAATAAACAAAATGACAATAATACATAAATAACAACAGACTACTAGCAGTTAACTGACATGCCAGCTCCAGACTTCAATTAAACTGATTGAAAGATTATGTCTTCATCATATGAATATCAGGCACAATCCTTCCCGTTAGGGGTTTAGTATCATACCATCATAACATATATGAGAAGAACATAACCCGTGTCATGCCAACAACTGGTTTTTAAATAAATGTGTTTAGTGCCGATGCAAAATCTTGCATTTTTACTAGGGGTTTAGTATCATACCATCATAACATATATGAGAAGAACATAACCCGTGTCATGCCAACAACTGGTTTTTAAATAAATGTGTTTAGTGCCGATGCAAAATCTTGCATTTTTACTAGAAATTAGTGAATCTTTTTTTAAATTATAAACATAGTTACAATTTATTCAAGTGCAGAAAGGTCATCTTAAACAACATAATGGCAACTGGTCCATAGGTAAAAATGCATAACATATCTAAATACATGTATACATTGTAAAGAATACAATTATAAGATGTTATGACAATAGACATGTTTAACTCTGTCAAATTCTTTATGTGCCTGTCCCAAGTCAGGATCCTGTAGTTCAGTGGTTGTCATTGAATCATGTCTCGTATTTATTTTTCGTAAATTGTTTTGTTATGAATTAGGCCGTTAGTTTTCTGTATTGAATTGTTTCACATTTTTCATGTCTTGGCCTTTTATAAATGTAGCTGACAATACAGTATGGGTTTTTCTTATTGTTGAAGGCCGTATGGTTGCCTATAATTGCTTACATCAACCTCATTTGAACTTTGGTGGATAGTTGTCTCATTGGCAATCATACCACGTCTCGTTATTTTTATATTAGAGTTAATATACAAACAATGCAAGTTGCAACCGTTGATCTTTTGTCTCTGTGCAGAATTGTCCTTAGTTATTTTATTACAACTCAGGTTATGAAACCATATTTGTATTTTTCAAGTCAAAGCTCTTGCTTCTTTTTAATTTTCACCAGAAAATTATTCTCCAAGCTCACAGAGACTAAGCTGTAGACCTCTAGTTCTTTTAATCTTTGCTTTTGCATGATGACAGTATGGGTGAACTTATAACCTGGAAAGACAGGTCAACACAACTTTCTGAATCTATGACCTATATTTAAAGGCATCCATTTCTCATTTTAAAGGTTTTATTTCTTTAAGATTTTATTTGTATTTAACCAGTACTTGGTAAAATTGCTTTTTAGAAAAATACATAGAAACAAGATGGAATATGTTATTGCACATAACTCTTTATTTTTTACCAGCACAAGCACAATTATGTAATTCTTAAATTGAACTATTTAGCAAGTATAAAGTTGGATTAATAGGTATGAATTACTGTAAATTCAGAAATCATTGGGATGTTTTTATTAATGCGAAAAATGTGACAGTATCTGGTTCACAATAATAAAAACTTGCATACATAATTTCAGTAGTGGTTTTCCTTCACAAAATTTCTGCAATCACATTAATAAGATCTTGCATTTTTACTAGAAATTAGTGATTTACAATAATAAATGCATGCATTAATTTCTGAATTTACAGTATTCATATAAATAAATATTAAAAGTTAAGTTGAACTATTTTGCAGGTGATCAGTTAGATGAACCAACAGCCATTGTTGATGGGTATAATTCATATTTCAGTTTTTCTAGAAAGAGAAGTGGATACTCAGGTGAGAAGCTGTAGTACACTCAACAATCTGGAGATAAAAAACATTCCTTGGAGTTACTCATAGGTAAACAAGTTGATTTTGGATGATTCACTTTGCACAAAATAGAAACGCTGCGGTGATCTTGTGGTAGAGTGATTGACTCGAGTGCAGGAGATTGTGGGTTCGATCTCTGGCTGGATCAAAGACATGACAATTGGTATTTGCTGGTTTTCCGCCAAGCTCACAGCGTTTGGAATAAGATCAAAGAGTGTCAAAGACTAGTCAGCTCTGAGTCAGAATAATTTGTCCAGATGCAGAGGCAAATTAACATTATAACATTAATATTGTAAAACGCTAGACGGTCAGAAGTGCATACACTATCATCAACATGATAATATATACCATCGACTGCAGCCATATTTTTATATTCCTTTAAATTTCCATTAATGTTTTCTAGGTGTTGCTACATTCTGCAGGGACTCAGCTACACCTTTTAAGTCAGAGGAAGGCTTGCATTCATCTTTATCAATGAAAAATGAAAACGTTGTTGGTTGTTATGGCAAGATTCAAGATTTTACAGAAGATGAGCTGGAATCACTTGATGCAGAAGGAAGAACCATCATAACTCAGCACAAAATAAGGTTAGTATACAGTCTTTTATGTCATGTAAACCTAACTTTTTACTTTAATGAAATGAACATTTTTTACTCAAGTTGACCTTATTATCCCCCTCACAACGTGATGCGGGGGACATAGAAATACTGGGTGTCTGTCCGTCCGTCCGTCCATCTGTCCATTCTTGTTAGCCCTCTCATGTGTACAATTCTTGTCAGACTTTTATGAAACTTATATCATAGGTTTATATCAGCTATGTCTTTGACGAATTCGAAAATCAGTGCCAAACAATTATTTTTGAAAGAGTTATGCCCCTTAGAAACATTAATTATATGGAAAATTGCCTTATGAGTACTCTCATGTGTACAATTCTAGCCAGAATTTTATGGAACTTAAATGATAAGTTTATATCAGCAATGTCTTTGATGAGTACGAAAATCGGTGCCGATCAATAATTTTTAAAAAAGTTATGCCCTTTGGAAATATCAATTATATGGAAAAATGCCTTATGAGCACCCTAGTGTGTACAATTCATGCCAGATTTTTACAATGTAGGTTTATATCAGCAATGTCTTTGACGAGTTCAAAAATCAGTGCCGATTAATTATTTTTAAAAGAGTTATGCCCTTGGAAATATTGATTATATGGAAAATTGCTTTGCTTCATGTGTTCAATTCTTGCCAGAATTTTATGAAACTTATATCAAAGGTTTATATGACAATTTCGCAAATAAGTTCTGATCAAAGATTTGTAAAGAGTTATGCCCCTTGGAAATATTGATCATAATGGAAATCACATTGCATTTGCTCTAAAGCCTTCATATCTCTAAGATATTAATAAAAAGATTTAAACAACAAAAGAAAGTGCAAAAGCGAGACATAGCAATCCTACATTCCGTCGTCGGTGTTTTCGTCGGCAGGGTCCACAAATATTCACTCTGTGGTTAAAGTTTTTGAAATTTTAATAACTTTCTTGAACTATCCTGGATTTCTACCAAACTTGGACAGAAGCTTGTTTATGACCATAAGATAGTATCCAGAAGTAAATTTTGTAAAAAAAAAAAATCCAGTTTATCTGTATTTTACTTATAAATGGACTTAGTTTTCCGCCAGTTAACATTACATTCACTCTGTGGTTAAAGTTTTAAAAATTTTAATAACTTTCTTAAACTATCCTGAATTTGTACCAAACTAGGACAGAAGCTTGTTTATGATCAAAAATTAGTATCTAGAAGCAAATTTTGTAAAAATTTATTTCCTGTTTTTCCATATATTACTTCTAAATGGACTTAGTTTTTCTTCCAGTTAACATTACATACAGTCTGCAGTTAAAGTTTTTAAAACATTTATTAGATTCATAAACCATTCTGGATTTTTACCAAACTTGACAGAAGCTTCTTACAATCAAAATATAGTATTTATAGGAAAATATTTAATAATTATTTCCCCATTTTTGTTGAGCCTGCGACTTTTGTCAATGTAAAAATTATCTTCTTTATCATTTGTTCATTCAATAAATTTATGTTGCAACTCTTTTATAATCTATAGATTTGATTGCATACTGTATTCATTTTTTACAAGCATAACTTTTTTCATACATTTCAAATGTTTTATTTCATCAACTGTAAACCTATTATGTGCATTCCCCTATCACACTGAAAACATAGACAACAGCAAAAGTAGGCAAGACTCTGGGTTCCACGGAACCCTTACAAATTTTTTAGTTATTGCCCTTGTACCTTGGATAGATAAAATATGTGCAACGCAGGGGACATTGGAACTCTCTTCTTTTATTTTAAACTGATTCAGTTTTTAATGCAGTTAAATAAAATAAAATGAGCTAAACTGTCTTGTTGGTCTCATGGTAATGAGCTTGCCTTGAGTAGGGAGGTCATATGAGCCTATCCATGACTAGCTTAAAATTATGCGTCTGAACATTTATACAAGCTGACTGCTACATTATTTGCTAGCACCTTAAAACAATTCAACTCTAAAAGGTTGGTCTAGTACAAATAGGTACATGTATACCAATAGCTCATCAACATTTTTGTTGTCTTGTATTTGCATGTTATATATTTGCTGCTGGATCCTTGAAGCCTTCAATCAGTAAACCTAAATGACATCAGCTTTGCCTAAAGTGACCTGTTTGGCCTAAATTTAAACTCAGACAACCTGACTTACCTAAGTTTTTTGTAAGTTGACCTGGAAGACATTAGTTTTTGATTCTTGTTTGTTGTAGCTCATCTCATGATAACACAAGTTTGCTATGAGTGATCTATACAAAATGTTTATACACTTTTAGGCTCCATGAATGATTGGATTTCTTTTTTTATTTACATAAGCTGTACCGAAGTTATGGCACCTTGTTCGTTCAAAACTTGACTTATTAACATTTCTGACAAAACTAACTCAATATAAAAATAACGAGATGTGGCATAACTGCCAATGAATCAAATGTCCTCTAAAAAAACAAAGAAGGAAGATGTAAGCAAATGTTGAAGTTTTAACTATTCATTACAAAATGTTCTTACATTGTCGTTACCAATGAAAACAAACACCCTATTGATGTTCACATTCTCTCCTTCTTTGTCATTCTGGTAACAGAATTGTTTATAAAAATTGAGTGTTTTGTTACATTTGATACTATAGCTCAGATTTGCATGTTTCAGAAAGAAGAGTGGAGATGAAGGAGATCTCGCCATTATTAATGTCTACTGTCCACGTGTTGACCCTGAGAGAGAAGATCGCCAAGTTTATCAGCTTAGATTTTATGCACTACTCCAGATGAGAGCAGAAGCCCTTCTTAATAGTGGAAGGTACAATATCTTTTTAGTTCATCACTTTGGAATTATATTGGAAAGAGGACATGATTGATAAGAGCATTGTTCTGCTTAGTTTTTCATTGAAATCTGTACTTCTTATGTACCTAAGGTTTTCATTTACCATATATTTATATTAAACTTGAGATAAAAAAACATATGAATAAATAAATTACTGTAGTTAAGGAGCCACAATACTTTACATCATGGAAAAAGTACATTTTATTGTTTATATGAATTATATGTAGGTTGAGGTTCAAATGGTTATCAGACTTACAAATATAAAGCAAATGCAGTCAAGATAATAATTTACCACAAAAGTCAAAATGAACAACTCCTCTGTTATAAATATAGCTTGGTTCTTGATTGTGTTGGATATTTCCTATGCATAAATATGTGTCAAACTTTGCAATTTGTTGCCATTTTTTGAGAAAAAGTCAGCTTATGCCATTTTGCAACCCTTATCTTAGTGTGTTTTATCCTACTAGACAATTCTATAAAAAAATTTGCCACATTAAGATCCATAAATTTTGTGCAAAATTAATATGATGTTGTGATACATGTGATTTAAAAATTAGACAAAATATGAACATTTCGGATCTACAGGACAATCAAAATTAAATAAAATTAAGCTTGGCATAACTTATGCCAGGGGTAGAAATAAAATGTGATGTCAATCTGATCAAGTTGGCAGATTCCATTTGAAATTTAAAAATAGTTTGCCTTTTAAATAACATGGATTAGAAAATTGGTGGAATTGAAGTTGATATACATGTGCAGATTTGTTACAGACACTGAAGCATCTCTGTAAAATAAAAAATCTTTTTTATAAACCACAGGAGTGGTGATGTAAACTAGATTTAATGAAATGTATAGCATTCCTTACAAGTCTGATATCTGAGGATGTCACTGACCATCAATTACTCCAAGGACAAAATATGTTAGAAAAAGCGGATATGGGGGTGTATGTCATGATCAATATGACCCCAAATGACATGAAACAATTGTACTAGTAAACATAGTCTTTAACACTAGATACTTATTATAGTCTATCCCATATGTAATTAAGCTTTAAACCAGCCAAAGTGTAGATAACCAGTTTATGGTTACATAAGTACCCTGGTAGGTTAAGTAATTTTATTTGAGAAATCTTTGTTGTTGCATATACCCCGGTAGGTACATTAATGATCTGTTTGGACATATTATTGTTAGATATTTCTTTAGAATAAATCTCGAGAAAAGGATTGATGTTCAAAATTGTCTGTCTGCTTCTGTTTAGTTTATAGAAAAAAGGTTTTTGAAATTATAACTGCAAAATTTGTTTTACCGGTTTAAAAAAAAGGCAAGTATAGACAGTCTTAAAGTTGCACCTTTTGCTATATCAATATTGCATTTCCATGTTTGATGCCAAAAAGAGGCTGATTTGAAACAGTTAATGGGAACTTAAAGAAAAACATTATTAAATTGGAAACTTCTGATCAGTACAGTTGTACCTAATAATGGCTTTTCAGAAAAGAACCTTGTAAACATAAACATATATTTTCTTTCTTCTTTCAGCCATGTTATAGTTTTAGGAGATATAAATACAACTCACAAAGAAATAGACCACTGTGATCCAGATGATGAGGTAGGAATTTGTTTAGTTTAAGTAATGTCATTTCTATGAAAATATACATGTGTGTATTTATGTGTATGTAAGGCATCTTATGCTTCATTTGGTGAAGGAAAAACGCATTAATATATGATTGGCATACATTTCTTAATATCATTCAAAACCAGCATTTAAGGTTGATAGAAAGGTTTAATTATCCCATGACTTGGCTGTTGTACAAAAGTGAAAAGTAGGAAATTATAGCAGTATTATACAAAATATTGGTCACTCTGACCTGTATTGCACACAATTATTGTTTCATATCACAGTATGTTTTTGCACTGAAGTAAAATTTTAACACAATGAATTTTTACATATTATATATGTTTAATGATTATCCAGTCAATTGTAGATTAGCAATTTTGTTTTTTTGTTTTGTTAGACCTTATTAATAATAATATTTATAAATTCTTTTATTCTAGTGTTTCATTAGAAAGCCAAGTAGAATATGGTTGAATCAGTTTCTTTGGGACCAGGACAAAGATCCAGAAATTCAGGACTTTCGCACCATAGAAGGATTCCAAGCTGTTACAAGTACTGCAAAAGGTGGTTGTTTTTCTGATACACTTAGATATTTATATCCAGACAAAAAAGAAGCTTACACAAACTGGTGCTCCCTAACAGGAGCTAGAGCTACAAACTATGGGAGGCGGTTAGATTACATATTTACTGATATTGGCTTAGTATGTGATTCTAAAGATTGTGTTGTTATGCCAGAAGTAGAAGGATCTGATCACTGTCCATGTAAAGCTGTTTTTCATGGAAATTTTATTCCATCTGTAAAATGCCCATCGTTGTGTTCAAAATCTATGCCAGAGTTTTTAGGCAAGCAGCAGAAACTCTCATCCTTTTTTGTAAAACGTTCTGACAGCCAACCATCATCAATTAAGGAATCTGAAGAAGAGGATGGGTTTTCAAGCTCACAGGAAGAAAAACAAAAATATATATCTAACAACAAAAGCAGTTTTAAGCGAGAAAATTCTATTGCTAGTAAGTTACCATCTGCTAAAAGACAGAAGAATGATCAGGGCAGCCTATCAAAACAAGCTAGTTTAAAAAATTTCTTCTCCATTCCAAAGTCAAATGTTCATACTAATGACAGAAGCAGTGGTAAGGATACTTCACAAGAGAAAAAGCCTGAAGAATTCTCAAAGGGGGAAATAAATCCTAAAATGGCCAATGACAATACTACAAAAACAGAAACAAAGACTGTGACAAGTGGTTCATCAGCTCAGGCATGGAAACAGTTGCTTAAAGGTCCTCCTACTGCACCTCTGTGTAAAGGACACAAAGAACCCTGTGTATTGAGGACAGTGAAGAAGGATGGCCCAAACAAAGGGAAACAATTCTTTGTATGCAACAGACCAGAGGGTCATAGTAGTAACCCTGAAGCTAGATGTGATGTGTTTATATGGGTGGATAAAATGAAAAATGACAGTAAAACAAAAAAATAAGATTTTTTATATGAAGAATGAGATTGCTTATTTTTAGCCTTTGTTTAGAGACAGAATTTAGCATTTTTGGTTAACTTTGCCAAATGTTCAGTTATTTCAGTATTAAAAGTATGATGATAAGAAGGATCAAAACTGAAAATAATGAACTGAAGCTGAATAAAGAATATCTATTGACAGTGTTTGCCAAATATTTTTGATGATATAATTAAATTTAAGATGACAGAGTTTATTGATTGTATTCATATTAAATGAAAAATGTTTGCTTCAAATGTTTTATTCCCATAAATACAAGTTGCCAATATAGCATAGGTAAGATAACACAAGACCATTTGGGCATTTTACAAGATTGTATTTTTTCTTCCAGAACATGATGTATGAAATATACTTGGAAATACAGTGGCCAATAATAGAGTGAAGGAAGGCATTATTTCTATATAAGTAGATTAAGAACTTAAAGGTTGCTGTCAGTTACTGCAAGCATGTTTGTATTATTTATGAATAAAAGAAGATGTTGGGTATACGTCAATGAGACAGCAACCCAAAGACAAAAAAAATAAAGACATCTAGAGGGCAACATACAGTCTTCAACAACAAACGGCTTCCTTGGTCACATATTGGCATGCTCACTTCAAGTGCGGGAGGTAGTAGGATTCATCCCCAAGCTGGTCAAACAAAAAATTTTAAAATTGGTATTTGCTACCTCTCCCCCAAGCGTGAAGCATTTAATAGTAAAAGCAAAGACTGCTTGACCTAAGATATTATTATGTGTCTTCCTGCAGACTGTTACCATGTGAATGAGCAAGTTAAAAATCCTGCTGAGCGTGTTTTTCTAGTACAAAGCATGGTATATATTCATATCACATTAACATGTTATGGTCCTGAATATGCATTTAATTTGCCACTGGACATTAAACAGCTATCCATCACTAATATCAACGATCAACAACAAACAGGCATTTATACAATGTATGAAACTTTAAATCGTCAATAAAATTTGCAAATGAATTATGGTAAACAGAAACAGTCAAAGTTCTTCTGTCAACACCCAATTCTCATAATAACAAAAAACAAAGATATGATATTCAACAATCTACTGACAAGTGTTCCTGACTTGGACAGGCACATAAACATGTGGCAGTGTTAATATTCTTTTCACTTCAACCACCAGTGCTTTGGTTGTCTAAAGTACAGATATTATATAGTTAAATGCATTTTCTAATCAACTTTTATTATACTTTTTTCATTTCCACATGCTTACCATGCTTACCGATACATAAAATATGGGGTGGTTTGAGTAACATAATAAACTGCTTCGCTGAGCGCAGCTGGATACGCCCACAGAGGTCCAACCCTGAACAGTTGGGGCAAAAGTGGACACAATATTCAAGCTTGATACAGGTCTGAATTTGGATTGTAATTAAATATTTGACATATTATAGGTTTCTGAATAAATGTAGTCAAAGAACTTGAAATTGGTTATATGAATTGAATTTATATTCAATTAAAGATTTCTTGCTGTTGTGCAATACACTGTGCTGTTGCGCAATACTTAGTAAATCTGTTGTCAGACTATAAACAAATAAAGTTCAATTAATTCTCAATGTCATATTAGAAATTTATGAAAATGTAAAGGGAGCTAACATCAATAGATATAAACAATTCATCAAAGTTTCATGAGAATTGCTGACAGCATTTTTGAGTTATTGTCTGAAAACTGGAAAATCCCCCCTTTTTTAATGAATAAAACCCCGAAACTCAGAAATGTAAAATTTATAATTTATAAAATTCTAAACGGAGCTTACATCAATAGATATAAACAATTCACCAAAGTTTCATAAGAACTGCTGAAAGCATTTTTGATTTTTTGTCTGAAAACTGGAAAATCCCCCTTTTTTTATGAAAAAAACCCTGTAACTCAGAAACGTAAAATCTATAATATATAAAAATCGAAAGGGAGCTCATGTCAATAGATATAAACAATTCACCACAATTTCTTGCAAGTTGGTGAAAGCATTCTAGAGTTATTGTACGAAAACTTGAAAATCCCCCTTTTTTTAATGAATAAAACCCCATAACTCGGAAATGTAAAATCTAAAATTTATAAAAAACGAAAGGGAGCTCACGTCAATAAATAAAAACAATTCACCAAAGTTTTATGCAAATTGGTTAAAGCATTTTTGAGTTAATGTCCGACATGTTGACGATGGACGGACAGACGGACAGACAGACAGACGGACAACTGTATACCATAAAACGTCCCGTAAACGGGCGTATAAAAACTAGTTGAACTTGACACATGAACATGTTCCTGTTCAAAAACAGCAACCTCCTCTGTGATAGTCTATAGCTTATGTTGCTTCAAATAAAGGAGAAGGCATGATAAAGGCCTCTTTACTGGCCCCTTGAATTAGAAAATCAAAAAGTATTTTAAAGCTACCAAATAACATCCTTCAGATGGTCACAAGACATAAGTCTATCAGACACCAGCTTATTTATTTTTGAATTTTGTTAAACATAGGACTTCAAACTTCTTACATTTACCTAGTGTAAAACAGCAAAAACTGCCAAAATAGCCCCATTTTGATATCTTGTCATTAAAATTGGGATATGAGCAACAATTTTACCAAAAAAGACATTTAACAAAGATGTTAATGTATGAAAAATATAATTAACATAATTTTGAAAGGCTTGAATAAGTTAACCATTTTTGGAATTTCAAGGGCCAAATAATATATCATATGCATTGATACTCACCGTTAAATTTAATAACTTTTCTAAAAGTTTGTGAGATTTAGAGCTTGACATATTGTATAAATATTTGTCTGTTTTTGAAGATATGAAGGTATGTAAATCCCTAAATGGCTGTTGATTTGTTTTTGTTTTTGTGTTGTTAGATTTGATTCATTGAATTACATTTCAGATCTCCTTCATTCATATAAGAAAGGGATTTAGAGGTCAGCATATGACTTTCAATACTTAGAACCTGCTTTCAGGTGATTTTTGTCTTGCCTGTGATGAATGTCGCAGAATATGAGATGGGATTACAAGCTGTTCGGTGTGAGCCAAGGCTCTGTGTTGAAGGCCTTACTTTGACCTATAATTGTTAACTTTTTATACATTGTAACTTGGATGGAGAGTTGTCTCATTGGTACTCATACCACATCTTATTTATATCAGATGTGGTATGAGTATAAATTATGTAACACTTAGTATGTTAAATTATTTATTACTTTTCCTTACAAAAATCAAATAACTTACTGCTTTGCAGTCGATCAATGAACACCAATTAAATATAAAAACTATCACAAAATCACATACATTTTGATATAGATAAATTGATTTGGAATGTAAAAAACAACTGGTAGATTAAAATTTTAAAGATGATAATATAAAAAGAATCAAACTTTTTTTCAGAGGAATAAAGTCCTTGGAAACTGATTGTTAGATTGTTGTTTTGAAACATCCAGAGGCAACACTTAAAAAAAAAATTACATTGATACTGTATGCATGTAACAGATAATCATAAAAGATAGGAAATATATGTCGGAAGTTTACACAAACAAAGATATCTAAAAGTATTCAGATATACAACCAGTTTTAATCCTTAAAATAAATAGATACAACAAATGTACTTCAGATTAAAAACATATGTGCATTCATATTCAATGCTTGATATTTACAGCAGATAACTTTTACATTATTGGTAAATAAAACTTGCAATCTGGGACTAATACATTCGTATCCGTCAGTCCCAGATGCCATCTAGTGTTGTTACAAACTTTCATATCATATGAATTCATTAATGTGCAACCATTGATACAAATAATTGTTTATTACCAATGTTATAGGGTTAATGCATGAATATTGATAATATACAGGGATAATATTCACCAATATTCATGAATATTAACCCCTTTAATGTATATCAAAGTTTGAAAAACTTTTTAAAACAATTTTTTTCAATGATGACACTATATTTGCACTAGTGCAATATCATAGAATACTGTGTGTTACTTTTTTTTACATTCTATGGGAAATATTATAATGCTATACAAGGACAATTTATAATATTTTTGAAGGTAACACAGAAAAAAAAGAGACTTAATAATGAAATGGTTTTAAATTAATTTTCTTGATCTGATTAAGATAAAATGTACATCTGATCAATATTTATTGATCAGATGTTCATTTGATTTGATTTGATGAAATACTATAAAAATGATGAATATACATGTACTAATTGTACTTCCTTAAAAATGGTCTTCATTGAAGAAAAAATCTAAATCTTAAATATACACTATTAACAATGTAATATCTTATAAAATATAAAAAATATCTGAATTCATTTAAAAACATAAATTTGAAAATATTAAAACATTAAAATTCTGATAACATCATTTAAAATGCTTCTCAATACATATATTTACTGCTTGCAGAGAAGTAAAAGTTATAAAACAACTGTTTTTTGTTACTGGTACAGAATTTTTTTATGCAAAATATCTTTTCTGGGATCTATGGAAACATGGTAGAGCATACAATAAGTTGGTGAAATGTACTTGATTGATTCATTGGTGTTTAAAGCCACTTTCAGCACTATAGTGCTATTTCGTGGTGGTAAGTTTTTATTGGTGGAGGAAGCCAGAGTGCCTGGAGAGGACCACGGACCTTCGATGGGAAAACTGACAATCCTAGTCAATCAAGATTGGAGTCCAGTGCACCTGCCACATGTGGGATATGAACTCGCATAGTGTTGACAGGCCAGTGATACAGTAGTTCGACTACTTAAACCACTTACCCACCGAGGCCAAATGTACTCAAATTATTTGTCTTGGCCTAATAGTGTAACAAACAAAAGTATAAATGATCTACAAGGAAAGCTAAGGAACATAAATCAGAAATGTGGACAGCAAGATGAGAATCAATCTTAACATTTTATCATATTCAGTTACATTCAAACAACTCATACCATCAAATGGAAATTTTCAACCAAAACAGAATTCAATGTCTTGAAGAATTCTACAAGTTAAGCCTCCATTCCTATATCCAATTAAAAAATAATCTTAAGAACTTGTAAAAATTGTTAATTTAGTGGTATGTCAAAACAAAGTCATACACACATGATGAAGACATAGTACCATTTAAATATAGCTTACTGGGATTCCCTTGGAGGGTATAATATCAATAACAATGTATTGAACCAACAAGAAAGATAAATCTAATCTATGATTTACAATTAGAAATTTTAGGCTTGTTGAATATTTTAAGGATTGATTTAATAATTATTAGCCTTTAAAATGTTAATTAAAATAGACATGACCTTTTTTTTTTAAATCTTGATAACTAGAAATAGCCAAAATTAAAATACATATTCACTTAACATTTTTTGGCATTTCATCAGATGGCATAGTCATTTTTAACCCTCAAAGTCAAATCTATAATGATCATCACTTACGGTAATACTTTTTGTCACCATAGGACATATTTTTTTGGTTTACAAGATAAAAAGTTAAAGTCTATCAAAACAACTCCTTCTTGTGCACTCTGCTACTTCTTTCCACAAGTACAAACCAGTTATTTTGTATCATAATAACTTTAATAGAAGAACCCAGCCTTCTAAAAAAAAATCCCTTTAAATCAAATACACAGAAACAGCACTTTCAATTACTAATTATGCTACAAAATGTATTAATGATTACTAAATACTAACATGTAGTACATCTAATATATAGCATAAAATATACAAGAAACATACAAATATATAAATGAATTGTACATATCATATAATAAAATCTATAATTATACAGATTGAACAAAAATTAATTACCATAATAGGTAAATTGCACTTAATTATTCCTTTATTATTTTTTTTTAATTCAGTCAAACTTCCCTTCTTATCTCAAACTTTTTTTTATTATTGATCCTATTATTTTTCAGTTTCTAAAATCCTTCCAAATAATTGTTTTTCTTTACCAGTTCAAAGTCTTGAGATTCCATGTAGAACTTTCTTTACATGCTAACTGTCTATATTTTAGCAAAATTTCTACAAAAAGAATAATATAGTTTACCTATAACATTGTCAATTAAACAGTTGTAGTTGTCCTTTTCATAAATTCTACTCCACTTCCTAGATTAGCTGTCCTGTCTGAATCGTCTGTTTGATTCCTACCTCCTTCTGAACCGTCTAAGCTTGGTGATTGTCTGCCATAACCTCTCTGTACTAAATGTGTGAATACTGGAGGCTGCAGGGGAGCAGCTTGTGAGGAAGTGTACATTGGAGGAGCTGGTGGCCTGTGTACCTGAGCAGGAGGAGGAGGAGGAAATCTTGCAGACATGGGAGGAGGGTATCCCATGGGTTGCTGAGGAGGTAGACCTGAAATAGACATGAATGGACGAGGATGAGTAGGTTGAGTAAAGTATGGTTGTTGCACTGGAGGAATTGGTCTTGGGAATGGTGGACCATTTGGTGCCTGTACATTGTAGAATACAGGCTGGCCAGGGACCATATGTACAGGCTGTGTTGGTTGGACAACAGCTGGAGGTGGAGCAGGCTCAGCTTGTGTCTGTTTTCTACCTTTTTTGCTTGGCTTTGCATATAAAGCTGCTTTTTGTGCTTCATTTTTCTTTTTCTTGATCATATCTTCATCATCAGTTGATAGTGGTTCATCATCACTCTCAGTATTTGACTCATTATCCTCAGATGATTCTTGCTCACACTGTATGGCACTCTCTTTGACTGCTTTCTTTGGTTTAAATTTTGGACTATCTTTGTCAACAATTTTATCGTACGGATCTTCATCATCTTCCTCATATTTTGCACGCTTTTGTAACTCTGCTTTTGATTTGGGTTTTACCCGAGGTTCTATTATTCTTTCGATGAAAACTTCCTGTGGATGATCATCTCTTCCTTGAACATATGAAGTATCATCTGAGGAACTGTAATAAGATTTCCTGTCAGAATCATACCGAGGCCTACTGTTCCTCTCAGATCTGTAATCTCTGTCCACCCTATCATCATAGCGATCATTTCTGTTCCTATCGTCTCGATATCCATTCCTATTACTTCGAGGACCATCTCTATAGGAACGCCCCCTGTCATATTCATCATATGGAGGAGGAGGAGGCCTACCTTTTGGAGGAATGTCAATACCTGAAAGAAAAAAATTGGTCAACATAAAGTTTATAGTCAGTATAACTGTAATGAAATGAACAATGAAAATTTAAAAATATTTTTAAATAGTTATCTTGACTATTAGAGATGAAAAAAAATAATAAACAGTTTCTAGCACCTCTGTACTTTACTTCATGCATTATAAATAAGACATGTAAACCTGTTTGTCCTTAAGTCAGTATCTTGTTAATGGATGTTAATTGCCCTCTCTACACTTTCTGTTTGAATACAGTAGATGTCAAATCTTTTGTCATTTTTTCAATTCATCTTTTTTCTAGTTCATTACAAATTTGACTCATCAGATACATAATATGCGTGTTTATTCCAAACTTCTCAACAAAAATGTAGCTTGGTTAAAGTAGCTTTGAAGTTCTGAGCCTTCCTTTATTAGCATCTCAAAAGGTGGAATAACAAATTATATAATGAAAAACAAACAAGAGAAACCAGACCAAAAATGTACTTATATCAGAATGCAAACAACAAAACATCAGTTACAATAATACCTAATTTTGCAGAAGACTAAATTAGTATAAGGCAAGAAAATTAAAGTTAACTTTGGTCAGTTCAGTGAATATAGTAAAATTTCAAGTACTGTATTGACAAATTTTGTTGAAATAAAGGAAGGAAAGGGCAGCTCAATATAAGGACAGGGTGATGCAATGAGAAGAGCAGGAAGCCAAGATAACAAGAAAAAGGACAGAACATTTACACAAAAAGGGTGGGTGATGTTCCCTGTGAAAATGATTCAGCTGGAACCAGACAGGTTTACAGCAGACAGCTCAATAGAATATCTTAAAATTACTTCACATGGTATAGCATGCTTACTTGATGTTTAATACTAAATTTTAGTATCTAAGTGATCTGTAGTTCCCGAGAAAAATAATTTTCTTTATTTTGACTTTAGAAACACTTTCTGTTTGTGATGGCTAACATCATATCTTGCTACATAGTTGTTTCAAGAAGATTGTAATATATCCACTCTATATTTAACAAACTTATATATTTAACCTACTTGCACTAAATTCACTTTCTCCACCATCACTATATCTGCTCCCTCTCCCATAAGATCTCTTTCCATCAGAATATGGTACTCTGGAACTCTGGGATGTCCATGGACCTTTTTTAGATTTTGTTGTTGTTAAGCTTGCATTAGAATTGTGAATATCAGCTGCAGTGTTTGTTACTGTATCATGAAGTTTGAATTCATCCCACTTTTTGTTAACCCCTTTACTCCTTCGATAACAGCAAATAACAATGATTGGTATAACTATGAAAACAATCAGCCCAAAAATGCCACCTACAATACCAATAACTGTTTCTTTATCAATAACCTGTTTATAGCCGTAATAATTGCAGCCATATTCATTCCCAGTTCTACATTCATCTTGGCTGGTAGGATCCCCTGAAATTAGAAAAAAAATACATTTTGAATTCCCTGTACATGTATTATATATTTTACTTATATGTAATATAAGTTTTGTTTATACAAACAAGAGTACAATTAATATCTGGTGAAAGATGCTGACATCATTGATACATTTAACATCATTGACCACCTGTGTTAGCTTGAGAATAATTTCTATGGTATTTGACATTTTGAGGTTATGGAGTCTCAACAGGAAAAACATTAATCTTTTCCTAATCAGATATATGTCACAAGCAATTACTCTTTGCAATAGTGAAAAAAGGTCGCTCTAAATGCTTGCAGATCATGAAATTAATGCGACAATTAACATGGTGTGCCTGTAAATATAACTTTCATTTTAGTGCGAAACATGTACCAGGATATGAAAATGAAATAAGTGACGCTTTGTCTCGTTTACAGATAAACCGTTTCCGCAGACTGGCTCCAAATGCAGCACTAAAACCTCATCAGTGCCCACCCAATTCAGAAGTAATGTGGTCCTGAACAAAATAGTTAATCAACTTTGGGACGTTGCTATTGCAAGCAAAACAAAGAGTGCATATGAAACTGGTTTCAAACATTTTGAGAGATTTATGTTGCTGAACAATTTCAAATATGATTTCTTACCTCCTATTTCAGAAGACATTTTAATTTTCTTTATAGCATATTGTTTCCATTTCTTAAAACTACAGTATTCTACCATTAAATTGTATTTATGTGGAATAAGATACAGGTATTTGCAGAATAGTTGTAAAGACCCTTTAGAATCTGACAACAACACACCTTTAGATAGACTCACTTACATTTTGAACTCTGTCAAAAAACTTCAAAAACCTAGGAACCATAAGAGATTACCTATTACTTTTGAGATTTTAGAAAAAATCATATTTCGTCTTAGACATGGGGTGTTTACCCCTTTTATTGATTTAATGCTAGAAACAGCCTGTACAGTAGGTTTTTATGGCTTTATGAGATGCGGAGAATTCACAGTTTTGAATGCCAACCAATATGACTCATCTGTAAATTTATGTATTGGAGATATTACATTTCATAAAGATATGACCGTTTTGAAACTGAAACAGTCAAAAACAGATCCTTTTAGGAAGGGTATAGATATTCAACTTCATAAAGTACAAAATCAGATTTGTCCTTATAAAATCTTAATCAAATATTTTCAAATTCGAAAAAATCTAATTCCTAATCTCCCATCTGATCCATTTTTTATCTCACAAAATTCTTTAGCCTTAGAAAGAAATTATTTCATTAATTGCATTAAACATGTACTTAGTTTATGTGGCTTCAATCCCGATCACTATAATGGTCATAGCCTACGCATTGGAGCTGCCACAACTGCAGGTAAAGCACATATTGAAGACCATTTGGTCAAAGTACTAGGACGCTGGTCCTCTGATAGTTACTGCAGGTATATAAGAGTGTCATCTTCTTCAATTAAGTATGCACAAGATTTGTTAGGTAATTCTTAACACAAAGCATCATGATATTTGATCTATCATTACAAAATGTATTTTTATTATTTTGATTTTATATGTCAACAGGTGTATTTTATTATTATATTATTTTTTCTTTTTTTCTTTTCTCATGACTTTATTGAAGGTGAATAAGTCCACACTCCTAAATCCTTGGGGGCACGCAGCTGTTCCATCTGTGTTTTTGGACCTTGATGGAATTTTATCACTGGTCATTTCTAAAATTTCATTCATCCCCAAGCATTTCGGGGACAAATTTGATCAAAATTATTCCAGCGCCAGTTTGATAGACCCTGCTACTTACTACTTGTAATAGCACCACATGGGCTATCCCCTGATGCAGACCTTGCACAACCCGGCTGCAGATGAGATGTCTATTCTCATCCTCTCTGTGGAGACACTCCACTTCCTGGCTGGCGCATTGTCGGGCAGGCAGGTTCTTCCTTACACTGAAGGTTGCAAGCTGACCTGCTCAGGCAGGAACTCAAAATTTTATTTTGTATGCTGAGTGTTTCTCAAGGGCCAAACTGATTTGATTGTTTATAATAAAATTATTATTCTAACATATCTTCCTGCTTTAAGCCAGTGTGACTTGCAAGTATTATGTTTTGGTTAACACACAGATATCCCTTATGTAAAATTTGGTTTATTTGTGTTTGAAGCTGGTAATTGGTGTACAATGCTTAAATATGTGGGTTGCTGTCTTGACTTTAATTGAGATTTGCTCAATCAGGAGAGTTTACTTGAACTAAATATTGGACATTAGGACTTCTCATCAATACACACAGGAAATAATCAGGACTTCTTATCGATACACACAGAAAATAATTTACCTAAATTGCAGCTGTAAAATACAGGTTGATGTGATCATTAAACTTTTTATTTCATCAATGGAAGGCTTACATTATGAAACTTTGCTCTTTGGAATAGGTAAATAAATATAACTCAAAATTTTTAGTAAGCCTGCCATTGGTGACCTACAATGTTTTGTTCACTGACACTATACATTTATAAAAGTTTTTGCATACCACTCAGACACAAATAATAAACAACCACCTTATTAAACTACAGAAAATATTTACACCTAACGAGATTTCAGAAAAGATTAGAGACTACAAGAAAATTACAATATGAGACTATTATACAGACTGACTACATACAACAGGTTTGAATAAATATTTTACTTATATGTAATATAAGTTTTGTTTATACAAACAAGAGTACAATTAATATCTGGTGAAAGATGCTGACATCATTGATACATTTAACATCATTGACCACCTGTGTTAGCTTGAGAATAATTTCTATGGTATTTGACATTTTGAGGTTATGGAGTCTCAACAGGAAAAACATTAATCTTTTCCTAATCAGATATATGTCACAAGCAATTACTCTTGGTGAGGAAATGCAGATTATGATAACAGATCTTATAAAATTTATTGCACAGCAATTAGTATATCATTCTGAAGGCCAAGTGAGGTCAGTCTCCTCCCCCTATATGATTGATGTACCCAATCTGTGTGTGAAGCCATATGCATGGTCTTTGTATAATCACTTTCTAGGTTCATAGCAGTCTGACTAGTTGATATAGTTTACAGTGCTATTATTTAATTTACCACCCACCATCCACCTTCCTAACACCTTCAATAATGTTTCATGACAAGAGAAACATTTCAGCAATTTTACTAGTGATATATTTATTTTTCTTTTCTTATTATATTTCCTTGATGGAATTTTATCACTGGTCATTTCTAAAATTTCATTCATCCCCAAGCATTTCGGGGACAAATTTGATCAAAATTATTCCAGCGCCAGTTTGATAGACCCTGCTACTTACTACTTGTAATAGCACCACATGGGCTATCCCCTGATGCAGACCTTGCACAACCCGGCTGCAGATGAGATGTCTATTCTCATCCTCTCTGTGGAGACACTCCACTTCCTGGCTGGCGCATTGTCGGGCAGGCAGGTTCTTCCTTACACTGAAGGTTGCAAGCTGACCTGCTCAGGCAGGAACTCAAAATTTTATTTTGTATGCTGAGTGTTTCTCAAGGGCCAAACTGATTTGATTGTTTATAATAAAATTATTATTCTAACATATCTTCCTGCTTTAAGCCAGTGTGACTTGCAAGTATTATGTTTTGGTTAACACACAGATATCCCTTATGTAAAATTTGGTTTATTTGTGTTTGAAGCTGGTAATTGGTGTACAATGCTTAAATATGTGGGTTGCTGTCTTGACTTTAATTGAGATTTGCTCAATCAGGAGAGTTTACTTGAACTAAATATTGGACATTAGGACTTCTCATCAATACACACAGGAAATAATCAGGACTTCTTATCGATACACACAGAAAATAATTTACCTAAATTGCAGCTGTAAAATACAGGTTGATGTGATCATTAAACTTTTTATTTCATCAATGGAAGGCTTACATTATGAAACTTTGCTCTTTGGAATAGGTAAATAAATATAACTCAAAATTTTTAGTAAGCCTGCCATTGGTGACCTACAATGTTTTGTTCACTGACACTATACATTTATAAAAGTTTTTGCATACCACTCAGACACAAATAATAAACAACCACCTTATTAAACTACAGAAAATATTTACACCTAACGAGATTTCAGAAAAGATTAGAGACTACAAGAAAATTACAATATGAGACTATTATACAGACTGACTACATACAACAGGTTTGAATAAAGTGCATAACAGTGCATTTTACCCTAACACAGAGTAAAACATTGTGTATGAAATTTTACATAAATGATTAAAGCACTGATCTTTATAAGGGTAGTTTATGAAAATAAGATGTGGTATGATTGCAATTCGGTAGTAAATCTTCCTGAATCACCATGGTGACAGCTACTTTTCACAATTAGTTGTAAGAATCAATGACATAAAAACAAAAATGCAAGTGCATAATGACATTATTAAAGTTTCATTGAAATCTAGTCACTTGTTCAAGAGAAGTTGCTGATACAACAATACAAACACATATCAACACGTAACATATTATTTGGATTATAACACATTCAAGATCATTCAAAACATCTAAATTTGAGCATGGATGTTTTAAAGTATTCTTCTAAATAAATAACTCATGTAAAAAATATACTAATTTGTGTATTTTTTTTTTGCTGGGGCAATAAGAACTACGAATGGTAATTTAATCTTTCCAAAACAGCTTAGTACAGCTTTACATTCTTAATTTCAATCTACATACCTGGAATAACAATGACTCCTATTTCTATATTATAATCCAAATTAGCAGGAGAACTTCTAGTAAAATAGAATGTGACAGAATTTCCTGATGTTGTATATTTTATCTGTGTATTTGGTTGAGATCCTTTCGATGCTGTAAACTGAAAAGAAAAAAACTTTAATATAGTTTAGGATTAACTTAATTACAAGTTAGTTCTTTTCCATACTGGATACTTATATGGAATGATGATTATGTAACAGATGTGCTAGGTTTTTACATTGTTATCTCCAATTTAAAAGAACAAAATACATCTCCAGCTTGACATCTTGTTAAGTACAAAAATATATCTTTCTTTTTAAGAATTGAAAGATCAGTGCATCCCATTCATCTAAAAAGGGGTTGATATATTTTGACTACAGGACATTAACAAGACATGAATTTATGTTCATAGGGCACCATGTCATGCTCCAACCACCAAATTTTCATTTAAAAAAAAAACTGAAACTGGATCAAAATTGTAATTTGTCATATATTTTACAAAGTTCAACTCACAATGAACATGTGAAAAAAGAAGGTAAGCTGGGTAAGGGCAGAATTTTTGCATTGCCATGTGCAGATTGCTTTTGGTCTTTTAATGACAAAAGATGCAGAATGTCCCTAATTGTAGCTATATAGGTAGAACTGATAGATTCATAGTCCATGCATGACTTTCAACAACTTTTTTTGTTGATTTAGTATGTTTATATTCATATACATCATGTTATAAATTAAATATCTGAGTATATAGTATAAATAATTGCTTACCATGGGCATGGAGAACTAAAGATGGCCTAAATATACCTAACCAGTCAGTGATAATAGGGATTAGATTGCACCTTATGCAATTTTTACCGAATAATTAAATAAAAGACATATATGTCTATGCTAATATTTATGGAGTTTCAGAATTTGAAGTCATAGTTTTATAGTTGCCACTTTTGTCAGTACTGACAGTACAACTTCTTACCAGTCTATTAGAACCTGTACTCTGTCCATCATACATTGTAAAATCAACATTCTGTTCATTGATGGTTGCCTGTTTAATTTCTACTTGAAATCTCCTCATTTCTCCAGTTTTTTCACTAATCAATGTTATTTGACATTCTGTAAGAGCTCCTGGATTGCTCTGGACTGCACCTTTTCCATAAATTGTAATGGCACTTGTGCCCACATTAAACTGCTTGGCAGAACATTGAGAAGCACTATCCATCCAAACTAAAAATAGATTCAACAATTTATAATTGTAACAAAATATTGAGGTCATTATTCGTGTAATTGTTTACAACATTTAGTCCATATGTAATATAAATTTTCTAACACTCAGATACTGACTACCAAAAAATTGAAAAGCATAGGGGAGGGAGTGTTTTTAATTTTTGTATTTCAAAGGTTAATCAAATCCTGAATATAGCCACTACATTTCAATCATCTTCTCTACCAGAGTTTGTGAAAGAATATATTTTTTTTTTATCTGTTTATTTACCAGATGTGGGGTATACATCAATGTGACAGCAAACCAACAAAAAACAAAAGGAAATCTAATATGATCTTCAACAATAGACAGACAGTATACAATGTCAACCTCTAATAAACAACAAGAGTGCACATGCTGAAATGTCTCGCCTTCTTTACTAATCATTGATATTATGTTGATAGTCCTAAATATAAAGCTTTCTTACAACTGTCACATAAACTTAACATTAACCAAGAAAACTAAACATTGACCAATGAACCATGAAAATGAGGTCAAGGTCAGATGAACCATGACAGGCAGGCATGTACAGCTAACAATTCTTCCATACAACAAATATATTTGACCTATTGCTTATAGTTTAAGAAAAACAGACCAAAACACAAAAACTTAACACTGAGTAATGAACTGTGAAAATGAGGTCAAGGTGAAATAAAACCTGCGCGACTGACATAAAGATCATAAATTATTTCCATACACCAAATATAGTTGACCTATTGCATATAGTATTAGAAAAAAAGACCGAAACTCAAAATCTTAACTTTGACCAATGAACCATGAAAATGAGGTCAAGGACAAATGACACCTGCCAGACAGACATGTACACCTTACAATCATTCCATACACCAAATATAGTTGACCTATTGCTTATAGTATTAGAAAAACAGACCAAAACACAAAAACTTAACATTGACCAATGAACCATGAAAATGAGGTCAAGGACAAATGACACCTGCCAGTCAGACATGTACACCTTACAATCATTCCATACACCAAATATAGTTGACCTATTGCTTATAGTATTAGAAAAACAGACCAAAACACAAAAACTTAACATTGACCAATGAACCATGAAAATAGGTCAAGGACAAATGACACCTGCCAGACAGACATGTACACCTTACAATCATTCCATACACCAAATATAGTTGACCAATGGCTTATAGTATTAGAAAAACAGACCAAAACACAAAAACTTAACATTGACCAATGAACCGTGAAAATGAGGTCAAGGTCAGATGAAACCTGCCAGACTGACATGTATCCCTTATAATCATTCCATACACCACATATAGCTGACCTACTGCTTGTAGTATCTGAGAAACGGACCTAATCACGTAACTTTAACCTTGATCACTGATCCATGAAATGAGGCTGAGGTCAGGTGAACCCTGTCTGATGGACATGTAGACGTTGCAAGGAACCCATATACCAAATATAGTTATCCTATTACTCATAATAAGTGAGAAATTTACATAACAAAAAAACTAAACTTTTTTTTCAAGCAGTCGCTGAACCATGAAAATAAGGTCAAGGACATTGGACATATGACAGACAGAAAGTTCGTAACATAAGGTATCTGCATACAAAGTATGAAGCATCCAGGTCTTCTACCTTCTGAAATATAAAGCTTTATACAAATAGTTTACGCCGCCGTCGCCGGATAGTAATACCTATGTCTCACTTTCTGCGACTTTTGTCGCAGGCGAGACAAAAACTGGACACTAAACTGAATGGATCAATGATGTTCCGTCATGAATTCAGAATAATATTTAAAATCTACAATGTATTATGGGATTCTACCTCTTTAAAGAAGCTTGCGATTGTGGATGCCTTTCCTCTCTTAACAACAGATATGTTGTTGTCCCAGCAGACAAAGCCTAAAGAAATATTGTTTTTATATGAAAAATCAGGTTTTGGATTGCCTTACAACTGATCATGAATTTCACAGCTGGGAAATTCCAATTAAATACTTCTCATCTTGCATCATTCGAGAAAGAGTAGATTTTAGAAAATCATAAATATGTCTTTCTTTTCTTTTGTATTAACATAAAAAAGGGAAATGAAAATCTCCCTTCTTTATTTTGGATATCCAAACTTCACAAAATTCCCTATAAAAGCATGATACAAAAGTATAGCGGGCTTTCTAGATGTTCCACTGAACATTTTTCCAATATTCAATTTAATATATAGCATAAACAAAACTTCCAATATTAGTGCCATATTTCTGTGTGAAGTTTCAGGGATCAGAGTATAAAACTGTAGAGGAGATGTTTACAAAAAAGGTACCCACTTTCCCCTAAAATGTTACAGTTCATCCACCTAGTTATACCCTTTTAAGATTGGTCACATAATAATACAGAAATAAATAAAAAGTTATATTTTATGAAATTTTTCTAAAAATTCTGATTCAAGATTCCAATTCATTCTTTATATTATCTGTCATATGTTATAAATGATTCCTACAGAGTCTTGATATACAGAAAGCCCTTCTAGGCCCTTATTGTTTAGCCAGTTCCCATGACCATGATATATTGCCCTGAAACAACAATAAGCAACTAATATTTCTGTAATTTCTGTCTATCATATTATACTGAATATTTGAACAAGCTTTTAATTTTCTCATTATTTCCTTATGAAAAATAACTTTTAAAATAACTTACAAGTCAAATCATTAGTTTGAGGACCTTGTCCACTCCAAGATGACCATGACGACTGTCCTGTGACCAAGCCACTTGTAATCAGAAATAGAAATCCTGTTATTCTTCTCATATTTATCTTTCTTGATTAAGATGAAAGCTTTTCATGGTTCAGCTATCTGTGAGTAAATGAAAAAAGCTTAAGTAAACTCCTTTTCAGTTGAAAATGTAATCATTATACATAGATACTCCACCTGCCACCAATCACAAACAATCATAATATTTGAAAATTTCCTATGAATACCAGACAATGGACAGTTGTCTTTATTAGAGTTATCGCAAAAACTAGCTATGCTGTTTATGTTATTGAGTGGACAAAGATGTCAAACTGTATATAAATTAGAATTAGATAATGTTCAAATTGAAGGAGACAAAATGGTTGCTTATGTTAGTGAATTATTAAAACAAAGTAAACCTGGGATACATAAGATAAGATAAGATAAGATTTATTTTATTAAAGTGTCACCATCCATTACAGTATCTATATATATACACATAAAGTCATAAGAACCTAACATTTAGTAAAAGGATGCCAGCCAAAAATGACTTATGAGACACTTAATAATCATTAAAACAAACATCTAATACATACATAAAAGGACAACTTTGTTACATTTAAAAAGTATTTCGTAAATAAAAAAAAAAATAAAAAACATATATAATTTCTAGATGACATGTTAACGTCGGTAAAACATATAATAAAGGGAACTAGCTAAAAGAGGAACCGATATTCTCATTACACATAAGATAACGAAGTTTTTCAATATCGCATAAATACTCAAAATCAACATTTAAAAGACAGGCTTTGGCATATAATTCATGTCTGATATCAGAGTAAAAACAACAATTAAAAAGAAAGTGTTTTTCATCTTCAATTTGGCAACTATCACAAAAAATACATAAACGGTCTTGTAGAGGTTCTGGTGGTCTAGCATATCGACCTGTTTCAACTTTAAGTTGTAACGAACCAGCTCTAAAAAATGACAAAATACGTCGGTGGCATCTATTATTAACTACCTTTACATAAGGCTCCGTACCAATACAAGTTTTAAACAATCTATAAAATCTTAATTTATTACCATTGACATTATTTTTATCATTCCATACTTCATGATGCCAAGATTCTTTTTCAAAAGTTTGTATAGAATCCCATACATTACTCATATTAATTTCATCTTCTACATTTTGAATCAAACTATATTTACGAGCTAACTGTAAAACTCTATAATCCCATGACGATTTTCTTCTAATCGCCCAGGTATGAACCTTTTTACATATATTACTGGTATTGTCACATTTAAGACGATTCCATAGTTTAAAAACTTCAACTTTTAGTAGTGCATCACCTGATAAAAAACCCATATCACCTCTAGCAGCTAGATTGCTGCTTCTCTTGCTTAAGCCTAAGAAAAATTTACAAGCATTGTTTTGCAAACTATTTATACAATTATGTATATTAATGCCCCATACACCAGAAGCATATGTAATAAAATGCTCCGCAGGGCGCAGCTTGATACGACCGCAGAGGTCGAACCCTGAACAGTTGGGGCAAGTATGGACACAACATTCAAGCTTGATACAGCTCTGAATTTGGATTGTGATTAAATATTTGACACAGCATAGGTTTCTGACACAGAATGAATGTGGTCTAAGAACTTAAAAATTTTAAATTGGACATTCACCTATTATGGTCCAATATCCAAAATCTAAATACATGGTTAGATTCAGCATATCAAAGAACCCCAAGAATTCAATTTTTGATGAAATCAAACAAAGTTTAATTTTGGACCCTTTTGACCTCAATGTGGACAAAGTTGATAACGGGGCCCAAAAATCTAAATACATGGTTAGATTCAGCATATCAAAGAACCCCATATATTCAATTTTTGTTGAAATCAAACAAAGTTTAATTTTGGACCCTGATTTGGACCAACTTGAAAACTGGGCCCATAATCAAAAATCTAAATACATGTTTAGATTCAGCTTATCAAAGAACACTAAAAATTCAATTTTTGTTAAAATCAAACTAAGTTTAATTTTGGACCCTTTGGACCTTAATGTAGACCAATTTGAAAACGGAACCAAAAATTAAGAATCTAAATACACGGTTAGATTCGGCATATCAAAGAACCCCAATAATTCAATTTTTGATGAAATCAAACAAAGTTAAATTTTGGACCCTTTGGACCTCAATGTGGACCAATTTAAAAACGGGGCCCAAAATGCAAAAACTTAATACACGGTTATATTCAGCATATTAAAGAACCCCAAGAATTCAAGAATAAAACCCCATTGAAATTGATCAAGAAATAAGCAATTTATAAGAAGTATCTTCTTTTGCACAATACTGTGCAATTGAATATTTCTTGCTATTGCGCAATACTGTACAATTGACAATTTCTTGCTATTGTGCAATATTGTGCTATTGGATATTTCTTGCTATTGCGCAATACTGTGCAATTGAAGATTTCTTGCTATTGCGCAATACTGTGCAATTGAAGATTTCTTGCTATTGTGCAATACTGTGCAATTGAAAATTTCTTGCTATTGCACAATACTTATTATATAAAAATTTACACATCCTGTTTGGTGTGTATCTCCTACCATATCATTATTATTTGCTTTTAAATATAAATCAGAAATAACCAACTTAAAATGGAAAATTTTAAAAGAAATAAAAAGGAAAAAAAGGAAAAAAAGAAAAAAAAAGAAAAAAAAAAAAATCCACCCCATCCCCCAAATTTTTTGAACCCCCTTATGATTCATCACCCCCAAACTCAATCCCAGCCTTCCCTTTGTGGTATGGTACCTTGCAGTACAATTTCAGAGAGATCCATACACTTGAACACAAGTTATTGTCTTGGAACTAGAAAAATGCTTATTTTTGGCCCCCAATTCCTAAACGTTTCAGGCAATTACCCCCTAACTCAATTCCAGCTTTCCCTTTGTGATATGAAACCTTGTAGTACAATTTCAGAAATATCCAAACACTTACACACAAGTTATTGTCATGAAACTAGAAAAATGCTTGTTTTTTGCCCCTTTTTTTGCCCCTAATTCCTAAAATTTTGAGGCAATTACCCCCAAAATCAATTACAGCCTTCCCTTTGTGATATGGAACCTTGTGGTACAATGTCAGAGAGATCCATACACTTACACACAAGTTATTGTCTGAAAGTTACAAAAATGCTTATTTTTGGCCCCTTTTTGGCCCCTAATTCCTTAACTGTTGGTACCATAACCCCCAAAATCAATCCCAACCTTCCTTTCGTGGTATTGAACCTTATGGTAAAATTTCATGGAGATCCATTCACTTAAACTAAAGTTAGAGTGCGAAAACCAATGTGTCTTCGGACGACGCCGGACGACGACGACGCCAACGTCATACCAATATACGACCAAAAAATTTTTAATTTTTGCGGTCGTATAAAAATGGGTTTGACTAAAGTGTCATATAATTTAGTAAATACATCAAAATTCATACCACCAGTTTTACAAAATTTTGCTTTAATAACACCAAGAGCTCTATTAGCTGATTTATACAGTTCTTTGGCAATTATTGAATAATCCGAAAATTCATTCAAAAGTACACCAAGATATTTATAACAAGTTGCATATTCAAGACAAAGTTCACCACATTTGAACTGAAAATTACTTCTTTGTATAGATTTATTTCTAAAATGAACAATTTTGGTTTTGTTTTTATTTAGAGTTAATCTCCACTTTTCACACCACTTGTTTAAAATGTCCAACTGCTTTTGCAGTTTCTCTGCATCAGGTGCAATCAATGCAATGTCATCAGCATATAATAACATAGAGACCATTATGTCATCTATTTGAATACCACAATTTGCTTTTTTAATATCTGAGACTAAATCATTTACATAGATAGAAAATAAAGTCAGCGATAAAACACAGCCTTGTTTTACACCAAGAGCAACAGGAAAAAAGGATGTCATAAAGTTATTTACTCTGACTGCACAATTGACATTACTGTATAAAGAAGTAATACAATTTTAAAATATACCGCTAATACCAATTTTTCTCAATTTAAAAAGTAGACAGTCTCTATCAAATGCTTTCTACATATGCAACCTTTAGTATTTGAAAGATATATTGTCAATGAAAAATTGTGTATTTTGAGAACTTATTAGGAATATGTAAGAAAAACAGAAACTCTTCGGAACAAAGAACAAAAAGTGTTTGTTTCTACTGTAAAACCTTATAAAGCTGTCACCAAAAGTACCATTGCCAGATGGATAAAAACTGTTATGAAAAGTTCTGGAATAACACGGCTCACACTACTTCAGAATCATAGGGAGAAGTGACTTCTCTTTTTGAAACTGATAAGGAGAAGTGGTGAGATTTGAAAGAGAAGTACTTGTTTGCTTGTGGCGCTACAATGTTTGGTTTTTTACTATAATATAAAGGGCCATATGTATCTTATATTTTTTTATTTTGTTCAATTCTTACCTGAGTATACAATTAAAGTAACACTCATGGGCTCTACCGAAAGGATTCACACAGGCGTTGGTTCACCAAACGGAGTATAATTAAAGTAACAGTTCAAATATCAAATTCAAAGTTGTTTAAGTTTATCATTTCTAGATACACAATTATATTTGTCTTCTTGTCAGAAACTACAAACTAATAATATTACACTAAAAAGATCTTTTTTTTATACTAAAACGGAAAAGAAAGTATAATATATCAATTAAAATACATTTAAAAAAATAATCTGTTTATCATGTTTATGAAATTCAATGTTTTTCATTAAAAAGATATATAAATTTAACAAAGTTTAGCAACTTTAATCATTAAATTAAAACAATGCATATACATGGAAATATATACATTAAGCAAGTAGATCTAACCAAAAGTCTGCTAATGCTTGTGGAATGCGTAATTTTCCTTTTGGGATCAATATTCTTTAGTGCAATCGTGTGTCCGTAGTTAATATCGTAAAAATACAGATTTCGTTCATAGCTGATCCGCTTCCGATGAATCCCGCCTCCAATTCGTAGTTCGTACAAATATTTCAATGGCGGACGAAGAAAATTTACAAGTATAAACGATGTTTGACAAGCTATTTGGAAAGAAATATGACGTTTTAATGCAACAAGGGGATTAAACATTAACTAAAGACAATTTTTATCAAGTTCTAATGAAGTAACATACTTATGTTGCCGAAAATTAGAATGAATTGATGTACACTCTCGAGTAACAAGTACTGGAAGTGATACAAAATAATTTGTCTTTATGAAATAAAATACAACCAACTGTAAAGTCAATGCTTTCACCACTTTTCTAAAGAAATAAATTATTTATGTTCGAATTTCTTTACATATAAATTGCCGATGAAGAAAGCGACTGAAAGCGAATAACAGTGAATAACAGGACGACTAGTTATCGCTTTTGACGGTCGGGCAAAGCGAAGTGACGGACGGGAAAGCGACTTTGTCGCCCCAGTCGCCTGCTAGCGTGAGCCCTGGAATAAACATTGAATGTTTTGGTCCACATAGTTGTCGTTCAGCATCAACATCAGCTGCATTAGGCCAAGGACTTAAATTAGACACTATTATGAAAAGTGCAGGGTGGAAGTCAGCAACAACTTTTCAAAAATTTTATAATAAAACAATTATTACCGACAATGAAAATAATTTAGCTCAAAAGATTTTACCATCAAGTAGCTATAGTTGAATGATTGTGTTCTTAAGAAATGTTATGATGGACATTAATGTACAAATGTATATATGTTTATTAAAAGATAAAATTATTTGAACTGATTGATAATAACCTGGCCTAAAGAAGGTTTTTCAACAATTCTTAGTGGATTGATGATCTAGTTGTGCTCTAAAATCTCATGGGAAATCGTATATATCACCAGTTAAATAAAATGTTTCAATTAATCGAAACATTTGAAGATTAATTATAATTTTATTAAACTCGTGATATAGATTTCATATGCCCACCTCTTGGGAATTTCTTGTGAAATTGTTCCCACCCTTATTTACAACTAGATCCTCAAGCTCTGAAGTATGACCTTGGACAGCGCCACCTGGCTGTCCTCTCATGGGAAATCGTATATATCACCAGTTTAATAAAATATATATATTGATATTAGGAATAGGATTAAAGAATAAAGATCAGTTTATACATAGCTGTTAAGAATCTGTAGAAAGGAGTGAAAAACTAGTATCTATCTAAAAGTTAAAATTCAGGTTTGAAGATTATTTAGATTATTGTTATAATTCACATGTTTCAATCAAATTATGTAGTAGAACACTATAAATGAACATTGAAACAGGAAGATATACTAAAATGACTAGAGAATATATATATATATATATATATGCAAATACTGAAATATGCAGTGTGTTGAAAACAAATACCATTTTTTATTAGTATGCCTTTAGATCAATTAGGCCTACTTTTTAACCAACATGTTATTGTTCTAGGCAAAACACTACAAAATTACAGAATTAATTATTTAAATTTACGAATGTTTCACTTATAAGGAAATAGTGTAAATACATAAAATAAGCAGGATCAATCAAATCACACTAATTGTTGCTTGTTTTCTTATTATGGATTTTAAGTATTGCTTTCTGCTCAGCTGTTTATCATTTGTCTTGTTGTCAATATGTTTCCGTTGCTATTATAGCATACTTGATGCTTTCTTCAATAAAGTATTCATTCATATTTCATATATATAAGACAAATAAGTTGATTGGTTGATTGATTATTGGTATTTAACACCACTTTCATGGGGAAAGTTTCAGCACTATTGGCTAAATTGTGGCTGTACGTCCTTTATATCTGTGGAGGAAGTGGGAGTGTCCGGAGAGAACAATTGACCTCAAATAAGTTGATGATATTGAAGACTGTATGAACAGTATAATTCTTAAACTTTATTATGAAAAACATGTACATCTTAAAACAAAATTAAGAAGTTATGTTGTATGTAGGTAAAAAACTTTTGTTTTGTTTGTTATTCATTTTTATAAAAGGTGATAAGGGCAAAGCAACCCAATACCCTATGTGACATCACTAATTAAGGCAGTCACCAGAAACATATGCAGTGCTGTCAAGTGAGACTCACGCAATTTCATGCTAATTTGGCAGCATTTTCCTTTGATTTATTGTTTTTTCTCTTTGATCTTTACAATTTTTGCCAAATCTCACACATTTGCTTCATGAAAACTTGACAGCCCTGCATATATCATCATAATTGCAGTTTGACAAAAAAATAACAGATATCAAGCAACCACTTGTTGGTTATAAATACAAAAAAAGATTATCAACCTATTTATGGGGCAAATCAACTACCAGGGAACAGGGACAGTCTATATATATGCTAGTATAGAAAGTCCCTGCAGGGAGAGTATGCCAGTATGCTATGGATTAACTTTGTATAGGGCATGTAATGTGTACCAGATTATATATATATATTCAAAATTAGGATTATTTCTAATTGCCCATAGTCAGTCAATAATTGACAGATTGATGTAATTAAACAATTCATTTCTGATAATGAATACGAATACCAAAGTTTTAATTTGATTCGGTTCACATATAACAGTACAAACATACTTTCTACTACCTTTTATTATCTCAGTTGGTAATGTTAGTAGTTCTCTACAATTCGATTGAATGTTTTCCATATAAAAACTTATTTGGATTATTCAATTTCTTACCATTTTCCTAGTTAAGCAAATGATAACCCGGAAGTTCTACCTGAACAGGTATATTACTGGTCCCTTGTACAATTTGTTCTTTTCATGTGAGAGGGATAATGACGATAATGAAAACCAGTATTTTAACTTGGTATCATTTAGTTAAACCTTTACCTGTGATTAGTAAAGTGTCAATTATTTAGGTCATTACAGGTAAATTGTAAATATGGCGTCCAGTAGCACAGTAAACAATTACAATTTCCACAAATCAACTTCAGAGTGTAAGATTTTAAACTAATATGAAAATAGGGACAACTACACAAACATTAATAATATATATATTAGTCCTTGATAATGAAAACTTAACACGATCTTTCAGGTAATCATAGTGTCCAGATAATGCCAGATAATATATTGTTCATAATATATGAAATCTGCTAAAGCTAAATAAAGTTTTTTAGTCCTCCAAGAGTCATAATAATTAGGACAATCATAGACCTTGTCCCTACTCTCGATCCCCAGTATTCAGTATAAATATATCAAAATAAACAGACTGTGCAGTACTATATAGTATATGTAAATGTTCTTAATACTCGACTATACTATAACTATACTCTATAGTGCAATTTAGAAACTTGCAAGGAATATATGAATTTGAATTTTATTTTATCGATCATATTATTGCTCAGTTTACTCATTTTGCAATCATAATGTTAGAATTATATACAGCTAGAGTAATAGCATGAATAGTAGTATTTATTCCATATTGGTATTATTTTATTAAGTTTTTACTATATGAATTAATGGATTTTGAATACAACAGCATATTCACCCGAAGAAAGTGATATTCACCATGCTCAACTTCACATGCTTTTACAAGAAACGTTATGGTTTCGATAGATATTTGTCATTATTATATTAAAATACAATTTTTCCTCTGAATAATGGATTAAAACAAATACTGTCTTTTGTTTTGGTAAATATGTGGTTAAATGGACTTTTTTGAAAAAAAATCAATAAAACCACATACACAAAATGTGCATTTAACTTTTGTTTTGAAACTGTTGCACATGTATTTCTGTGCTCAGAGTATTTTTCGTGTGAAAAAGACAGTCATTTATTCAAAAAGTGTTTTCATAATCATAAAGTACATAAAATTTGAGAATACATTGTATAATTACTTTTCCAAATTTCTCACATGTAAAAACTACATATAACTTTATTTAAATTGTCTTTTTGAAATGAAGAGTTATCTCCCATGTTAGTTAAATTTGTGGTACCACAAATCTGTTTGTTTCAAGTTTTTATATTAATTGTCCTTTCATCTCCCGATCACAAAAACTTCATGTGTCCTTTATGTGGTTGTGCCTTGCAAAAAGTAACCCTCAAAGAAGGTTAACAAGTAACTTTTATTGTTTTTTTTTTTTTATCCACCATGTAAGTATTTAGTCATGTAGAAATTTTCATTTTAACTTTGGTTTTGAATTAAATTAATGCACATCCATGAAAGGGAAATAAGTCAATAAAAAAAGTATTCAAAGGACATCAATTTTTTTCTTGACATATCACAGAATGGTAAAAATAAAAGAAGCTTACAGAGAGTTACTTTTTGGTATTGCAGGATACATGTACATATGGTCCGAGAACACAGTTATCGTCCTTTGATTTTCATTGTCCACAAATATAGTCCCTACTTGAACAGTGTATTAGTTGCAATTTTTTCACACCCCTTCCAAATTTATTTCTTCATGTTTTATGCCTCAAATAGCAAGTAGGGGGATGAAATTACACTGTAAAAAAATTTGGGTCATGAATTTTAAAGTAAAGTAGTGATTTGGTCCAGCTGAAAAAGGTTAAAAATTAGTATGTCTGAAGCTGTCAAAAGAATTCAAGACCCCCTTAACATAAAATTGTCCATATTTTGAGTTAGAGCTGATGAAGTTTTCTAAAATTTTGATATAATTTGTCCCAAAAGTAGTACACCACACTGTAAAAATATAATTGAGAAAGCGCAGGTGGGATTTTTTAAAATTTTCTTTTATTGTCTCAGGCCTAAGAGATGAAATCAGTAAATATAGAATCTGTACTTTGGCAACTTCCCTGTATGATTTAACAGTGTCAATTTGTCAAACTGCATGAAAATAAACGATATAAACTTTTATTTGAAAGAAATTCTGCAAAAATGTCCCTTTTTGGCATTATATGGTCAAAATAAACATTTCCAAGCCTTTTCCATATTTATGCATAAGTGTCATTCTGGCTTTCTATCTGGCAGGTTTTCATGTGTCAATATTTGTGTTGCTAGGCTTTTATCAAGTTGTATTATTCATTTATGAACTCTGAATCTAGAGAAAAGTAGATTGTCACAGAAAAAATGTGCAAAATGTGTTGTATGAATGGTCCGTGTCTAATGGCCTGTTTAAAGCAAGCAAATGTGAGGAATTTTGTACATAAAAAGTTGAAGTCCATCACAAAGATTTCACTAAATTTGTATAAAAAACACTTTGCAATGTCTTTTGTACATGTTTCATTTCACATACTGTCTTTCTTTTCTTCTGTAGGATAATAAGTGGTTCAAATATATGCCTATATGTTGTGACTAAAATTACATGCAAGTTTTTCACTGAAAAGTGAAAAAACTTTGTATCAGACCATTCTGTCTGCAAGAAAAGTAGAATGCAAGAGTCCTTTTGTACTCAGACTTCTTGTATCATGTTACCTGAGCATAGAAAAATATATTCACAATTTAGTCCTTTGCAGTGAAAAATTACAGTAATTAATTAAGATTAGAAGACCTTACTGAATATTTCCAAGCCTAATAACTTTTCTGCATATTGTTACAGAAATTACTCTATTAATGAATAACTCTAGCACATCTGTATTAGTTTTGTTTGATGGAAGAATATTTTTTCTTATAGGAATATGTTATAACAGATGATGATGTATACAGCTGGGACAGTGATATGGCTGTTTTCTGTAATATTAGGAAGTGTTCATACACAGTTTACCAGTAAGTTAACACTAAACCTTTATTGGAGAATTGTTTGATGAACTGCATGACTTGATCCAAATTCACTGTGAAAAGATATCTAATGAACCAATAAATACTAAGATGTGGACATATTTTTAATTATGAAATTTAGTTTTTTCCCTTTTACCCAAGTTTGTAAAGTTTTGCAGAAAATTTCAATTAAAACTGTTTGAATAGATATGTAACCTACAAAAAAGACAAAAATATAAACTTTACATACTCAATCTGTGTGTCACATTTTACTCAGTTGGATTTATTGAGAAATGGAAATTCCATAATTGGAAACACTGATTAGGGAGTTTGTATCCTAAGGGCCTAGAGAAGGTGCTACAGACTAGGTGTTGTGTGCAAATCTTTTCCTGTCACATGATACAATTTAAGCTTCCCTTCAAAAAATTTAAAAATGAAAAAAAAGTAGATTTGTCATTGTCTCTAAATCGAATAAACTGTTTTGCGATCATAGAAAAATATTTCTGTTACAAGTTGCAAGTTTTACATAGAAAAGATTTATGAATGATCAAATCACTTCCTCTTCAAATATTTACTGTATTATTGATTTATTTAGGGCAAATCTTATAAAGAAACTGTTTTTCACTCAACCTCTGTAAATATACATGGCACACAGCGAAACTTACTGTACTGGTACATTAGTAAAACAACTGGTCATACATTCATATATTGTGTACATGTAGATTGTATGATCAGAACTACTAGTTGTATATTACTGATTATTTTTATAATCCCTTCAAAAAATTTCATATATCCATTAGGTGATGTTCACAACAAGAATTTCTGGTAATTAACGACATATCAACACTGGGACTGATCAATAATATTGCACAAATCCAATATGCTGTGTTCAATGTGCCTTCCCTCTTTTGTTCAGGGCCCTATATATAGCACCATGATACACATGATGCATAAAGCTGTGGGGAAAACAATGCAGTATCAATTAGAGCACCTGAAATAACTGGTTAATTGCACTAGACAATTTAACCCACATTTTTTGGTTATTTATTCTTAACTTCAATCTGGTTGACCCTTATAAAAAACAACATAAAAGGGAGAATATAGTTTTTACAATCTTGCAGGTTGAACATGTGTTTTATCAATGTTCTACATTCTTTATGTTTTGTTTAATGTATCGTTATAAATATTTTGCAGTAACTATGGACAGTGATGTCTATTGTGGGAAAGGAATTGATATTTATGATAGGGAATATGTTATAAATGCTAGAGCAGATGTGACAACATCCAACCCCAATTACCGTTGTGTTATTACGATTCGTTCTGGTTACACAGATTCATATTACCAAATACAGATCACTCAGCAGATGGTTGATATCAAGGATTGTGGAGTTAAACTGAATATTTACGAGGGATCTTCACCAGGAGGAACTGCTGTGGTAGGTGCTTAATTAATATTAGGAAGTGTGGGGTATATTATTACGAGTAAATAATTAATTAATAGCCCACATGTTTTAACAAATTTATATTCTTAACTATACATGTATCACCTTATGTGTATACAGAGCTCTATTATGGTTAACTTATTTTGTTTGGTTGCTGTCTCATTGACATTTACCCTTATTACATCACCATACATTTTTGTTTTATGTATAAATTATATGATCTGCATATCTTCAAATACTTAAATGTTATTGGTCCCTTAGGATTTTTTCCATTGGTTACACTTCGATAAACAATGTTGCCGAAACTTCTTTCGTAACCTATTCATGCACAATACACATGCCTGGAGTTCTAAGAAAATTGAAATATTGAAGCAGAAACACTACAGAATGTTTATTTGTTCTAATGCATCACAAATATGTGCATGTGTCATGTGATGTTGTAATGTCAGAAAAATGTCAGAAAAGATTATCTTGCTTTTTTGATTGTGTGCAATTGTTAATTTCATAAATTTCTCCAGCTCATTTGATTGTTTCTAATTGTAATTTCATATTTTTTCTATCCATTTTACTGTTTCAAAGTGTAATTTTTTTCTGTTCATTGTTTGTAAATTGTATATTAATGCCTAATTTCAGAAAAGATTATCCTGTTCAACCAAGAGTACAGGCATTTTATATTCCAAGTATGGAACCGTTACATTTGAATTAATAACTCCAGCACAGCTGTACAACCCAAGGAATGACTTCAGTATAAAAGTGAAAGCATTTCGTAAGTATTTTCTGTTGATATTGAAATATGCTTAAAAATGATTTACTTAAAAATATTAAACATGTCCTGGGACTATTATACTAGTATAATAGTCCCAGACATGTCACCGGATATATGTATTCAATATATATTTTGCTACATTTATTTAACATTTTATGTTATTTGTGGTTTCACATTCATATTTCATATTTATATTTCACTAGATGATTGACGGCAAATAGTTTTGCACTGCATAGTTAGGAAAAGACTACTCTTTTATCTGCTTTCACCATTAATGACATAAGCTTATTTCCATTAAAAAAATTCTTATTATTAAAAAACAGTATTTGTTTGCACACTGTACATGATGCAAATTGCCTTTAATACTTTGCTAAGGGCTAATTCATTTTAAATTTTTGTCTTGCCTGCGATGAAAGTCGCATTATGTGAGACATAGGGATCACTATCTGGCAGCAGCGGTGTAAACTATTTGTATATAGCTTTATATTTTAGACGGTAGAAGACACTTTATGAGTAATAGGATAACTATATTTGGTATATCCAGGGTTCCTTGCAGCATCTACATTTCCATCAGAAAGGGTTCACCTGATCTCAACTTCATTTCATGGATCAGTGATCAAGTTAAAGTTATGTGATTAGGTCTCTTTCTTAAATACTATTAGCAGTAGCTCATCTATATGTGGTGTATGGAATGATTGTAAGGGTACATGTCAGTCTGACAGGTTTCATCTGACCTTGAATTCATTTTCATGGTTCAATGGTCAATGTTAAGTTTTTGTGTTTTGGTCTGTTTTTCAAGTACTTAAAGCAATAGTTCAACTATATTTGGTGTATGGAATGATTGTAAGGTGTACATGTCTGTCTGGCAGGTATAATCTAACCTTGACTTCATTTTCATGGTTCATTGGTCAATGTTAAGTTTTTGTGTTTTGGTCTGTTTTTCAAATACTAATAGTAATAGGTCAGCTATATTTGGTGAATGGAATAAGAGTAAAGTGTACATGTCTGCCTGGTAGGTATAATCTGACCTTGAGCTCATTTTCATGGTTCATTGGTCAACTTTAAGATTTTGTGTTTTGGTCTGTTTTTCAATTTAAATACCATAAGCAATAGGTCAACTATATTTGGTGTATGGAATGAATGTAAGGTGTACATGTCTGACAGGATTTATCTGACCTTGACATACTGTGATACTTTTAGTAAAACCTTTATCTTTAAGACTTCAACATAAAGTCAATGGTCAGTAAAGCAGGCCAGACATTTCAGTCTGTGTGCTCTTGTTAATACAATTTAAGAAAATATATTTAGAATTTTTTAATTGGAATTTGTTCTGTAAAATGTGAGGTATAATATTTAAGAGAACATATGAAATAGGTGCCACAGCAATACACTCACTTAAAGTATACCCTAAAGGGCTGATGTAGTCCCCTTTTATAAATGTTGACTAGTTAACACCTATTATATAAAGCTAAATAATTAATTTTGCAGGTGATCCTAATGCTCCCGATGTTGCTGAGGGAGCGACAAAACTACCTGCAGGTGCAATAGTAGGTATAGTCATTGGAATAGTGATATTTACAGCATTTTCCATCATGTTAATTTGGTGTTATAGGGAGCGTAGACTTCCCGGAATGCAGCAATATAGGAAACAGGCAAGGCCTGTCCATGGAGCACCTCACAGTCATGGCGGATTCACCAATTCTGATTTCAACTATTCCAAAGAACCTTCATTAGCCTCAGATGCTCCAAGCAAGAAATTTTATTTGGAGGATCAAGGTGTCTTTCCAAGTATAGATAGTTTGGCAAACAATTCTTTGAATGGAAGTGCAGCAGGACTGCCTGTTAAAAAGGCACAAATATCCAATTGGAATATACAGACAGGTCAGAATAATAATCCAAATTTTAGGAATGTTTCTAGTGATAGAAATAGATATCAGTCTGAGTCTGATGGAAGGGGGAGATATCAAAAAGCTGATCATCAGGGAAGAGGAAGAACCCAGTCACAGGGTGATTCTCCTAGCAGACGAAGAAGAAATGATGAGGAGTTTCGACAAAATAATATACCTCCAGCTCCTCCTATACAAATTGCAGGAAGATTACCTGGAAGTGGCAATAGACAAAATGATGATAATGAAATGTCAGGAGTGAAAAGACGTAGACAGAAAATTAATCAAGGAGATGAAGAAACTGATGCAAAGCGACCAAACTCTGGGATTTTTGAGAATCCAGATAAAGAAGGATATATGTATGACTATGATCAAGTGAAAAAATTATCAGCCGATGATCTGGACAATGAGGGAAATAAAATGCTTCATGAACTTAAAAAGGAATTAGAGAGGAGACAAAGCATGAAGGAAGGCAAAGGAGACAATGGAGAAAAACAAAAAAATGAAACTAAATCTGATGATGCCCCAGGGGCACCTGTATCAAAAAAGGAAACAAAAGTGACAAACAACAAACCTGGTCTTCCTGAAACTGGGAAGATGGATGGAAAATATAAAGCAATCGACCAACAGAGTGAAATTGGTGATCCTGACACTATAAGTAATCCTCTAATGGGCAGTAATCCTGCAATTAGGGCTTCTGTAAGTGAACTTAGAGGATCAACGTCACCAGGATCAAGAAAAAAGAAAAGACGAAAATCTCATAAAAAATATGTTAAGGCAGATCCACTTACAGGGGGTGATCCAAATAAAAGTGTTGATGAAAGTTCAACAGATAGACCACTGGATGAGTCATTTGACAGGGACTCGATATACAATGACTCATTCAGACTACCTAAAATAGGCCTGACAATCAATACTCCCCTACCACCAGAAGCTCTGGCACCTGTGTTTGCCACTGACGAATCTGTCATGCAACATTATTACCCACAAAACCAGTATGACATTCAAAACCAAGTATATCCTGTAATGGGATATGATGCATTTGGCAATCCTGTTTACGGTAATCCTGTACCCCTCTCAGTGGCATATACACAACCAGGCTATTATGTTGATCAAAATGGATATCCTGTCAATATGCAACCACAGCAACAGCCAATGCAGTATACTCCAACAGATTTTCATCCAGGAATGCCTGGATACACTTCTACACCAGGCAATTATGATCAGACACCACACAGTAAAAAAAGTCCACATCATGCATTAGTTGCTTCACCAGGAGCACCAAGTCCAATCTTACCTCCTGGTAATATCCTTGATGACCCCAAAATACCCCCTCCTGGAACAACATTAATGAATTCAGGTGTAGATCCACGTACTGGTGTTAAGACATCTCAAGTAGTGTGGACAGATTCCAATCCTGATCCAACAGATCCAAGGGGAGATAATCCACAGATTACCAGACAAACTATTGTACGTGTTACAGCTAGAGATACAGAGGATGGTCAATTACCTCAGTCAGGTAATGCAGGTATGTATATAAATAAGGTTTGAAGGAAGAATTGGCTGTGTTACCATTAGGTCAATAAGAATGTGATTAACCATAAATGTAAGAAAACATAAAAAAATTAAGAAAATGAATTAATCATTTGAACTTATTTTGCAGCACAATAACATCAATATTAGGTCATAATATTCTAAATTAGTATGAAAAGTACATTTTAGAAGAATTTATATTTTCATGTTTCCATTACAATAATAATATTTGTTGACGTTGACTGAAAATACTGATTAAGTTAAATGTTAATATTTTATTTTACAAAACATTAAGTGGATTTAGAAAAATATGTGCATATCTTTTTTGTTATTTAATGTTTACTTATTCAGGGTTATATCTGGTCTATATACCAGATTTAATAAGTGTTTGGTATTACTATAAATTTTCACTTCTTCGAACTATGAACATCAAAATTATTTATTTTGTAAAAATATTTCCTTTCTCCTTTTAAACTGTATACCTAACAACAAAATTATTTTCATTTACCTGTGTATAATATTATTGTAAATGGCGGATTTTTGTTTTAGGTTATTGTTGTTTTTCTGAAATTGTTGAACATTTCACAGCAGTATAATACTGTTACATTAATCATTCATCCCTTATTTTATTGATTTTGTATTTACATTGTATCATAGATCAAATTTATTCGTTCAGTGTATGTTCATTTGTGTTAATATGTCTTTTGATTGAGTTAAGCCATTTCAATTGATATTTTATAGTGTGTCTTTCTATGTTGTGATGTTACACTATTGTTTCAGATAAGGGTGAAGATTTGGTACCATTAAAACGTTTAAACCCGCTGCAATTGTTTGCACCTGTCCTAAGTCAGGAATCTGATGTTCAGTAGTTGTCGTTTGTTGATGTGGTTCATAAGTGTTTCTCGTTTCTCGTTTTTTATATAGATTAGACCGTTGGTTTTCCTGTTTGAATAGTTTTACACTAGTAATTTTTGGGGCCCTTTATAGCTTGCTGTTCGGTGTGAGCCAAGGTTCCGTGTTGAAGACCGTACTTTGACCTCTAATGTTTTACATTTATAAATTGTGACTTGGATGGAGAGTTGTCTCATTGGCACTCATACCACATCTTCTTATATCTATAGGGGCCTTGGTGGCCGAGTGGTCTAAGTAGTTACTACTGTAATCACCTGCCAGTCAACACTGAGGTTGTGAGTTCGAACCCCGCTCGTGCAGGTGCACTTGACTCCAATCTTAATTGACGAGGATTGTAAGTTTTCCTATCGAAGGTCGATGGTTTTCTCCGGGCACTCCGGCTTCCTCCACCAATAAAAACTGGCCGCCACGAAATAGCCCAAAAGCGGTGCTTAAAAGTGGCATTAAAACACCAAAAATCAAAAAATCAAATCTTATATCTATATAAAAAAAAAAAAAAAAGAACTTTGTGTGGCTTCAAATTTTTGTGTGTAATATAACAGTTAGACAGCGTCAACCAAAGAAACCGAAAGTCAATTAACATTTCTGTTTATCCTATATTGACAAACTACATACATACAACCACTAGTAATTGAATAAGTTAAAGTCTAAAGTATTTGTTGCATTTGTAACAAGTTTCTATATATATCTTCTTTATGAATATCCAGAGCCTTAACCCTTACCATGCTGTGCCCGTCATATGACGGGATTACCCAAACCACCGTTATTTGGCTCCAATGGCTCTCCATACTTTTAGAGGTCAACTTTATGATACTTATTTCGAAATTGATGCATGTTCCCTCACCCTGAGGCTCTCTATTGTCATGTTTCTCATGTTTAAGTTGCATTTTGAGCTCAAATACGAACTTGGAAAAATGAAATCGGATAAAACCGTTTTTTCTGGAGGGGTGGGCTTCCCTTCGGTGTCTTACACAGGAAGTTCAGAGGCCTAAAACTTTAAAAAATAGTGTAACCCCGCAGGCCTATATCTAATGATCATAATTATTATTGAAATACGCATAGGAAACAACTTCTTCCGGTTTCAGGTCCAGTTGAAGTCAAAAATCAGAAAAAATCGTGAAATTCTGTATTTTTGGTCCAAATGACTTTCTTTAGACATTTTCTGAAAACAATTCAGCATGGTAAGTGTTAAGAACTCATAAGTTGAAGATAAACTGCCAACGCCATGTACAAAAACGAAAAACAAAGAAAATTCAAGCAACAATCTACAAAACACAACATAGAAAACTTTAGACTGAGCAACATGAGCCCAACAAAAAACCGAGGATGATCACAGCGGCTACGGGAGGGTTAGCAGATCCTACTCTACAAGTGCTAAGTGCTGTTTTTCATCTTAGTCACAATGAGACTTCAACACAGAAAATAAGCTCACAACTCACTGCAGATTCAAGAGTGCACAAAGCACCGAGTATCATGCTAGATGTCAACCATGCCACATCTGTATATTTAAGAACACAGATTCAGTATAACATCAACAAATGAAAGACTATAACTGGCAAAATAATCTAACAAGAATTGTCTTAATGTCAATCTTGATGAATGTTAGGTGTCATATGAATAATATGTCTGCTTTTTGTTTTGAATTTTAGGATTACAGCAAATGACATTTTCAGCAGCAAAACAGTTGAAACATTCAGGTAATACAGATCCAGCCTTTTTATCACCATCCAAAGGAAAATTAGGGAGTGAAGCCTATACACCAAAACCTATGTATGCTTCTCAGACACCAGAGAGAGACAATGCAGCCTTTTATACCCGTGTGGCACCCCCAGAACAAAACCAAATACCTAGCGCTCCTAAACCAGTTGTACATAATCAAGCTCGTAATTATTCAGTAAGGGACACGATAACACTTCAACCTGAAGAGAGTGAGTTTTAATTCAGAAGAAATTTAAGTTATTTGCTAGGACCTGTCTCTCCAATTTTTAAGCTTTATATTAGTCATGTTAATGGTAAACATCTGTGATTATATTACATTTATAAGGGAATATATTTATATTTTCCTCTGGGTTTCTTTATTAATTTTTTTAGCATTTAAGGTCAAGTAACAGTAAATGACCAGTGGTACAGATTATTGTAAGACTTTGCGTAAAATTTTTGCAAATCTAACTAAAAATTGAAAAAAAAAATAATTCATTTGATTGTTATATTTCATGAAATATAATTGAATGAAAATCCTAAAAATAGGTGCATATTTGTATAAAATGCATGTAAAATTGTTGGAAAACTTTCGCTCGAATATTTGAGATTTTGAATATGGGAATTTCTTTGTAAATTTGTAGTTCTTCCTATTGTCATATTTTAAAAGTGCATATTTAATTTTGGTGTTACAACAATTTAACTTTAAACAAACTTAATGTAAGTAAGTTTTTATGAATTCATAGGACAATATTCCAGTCATGCCTAAAATACAGAATTATCTCCCTTATTTACAATTAGTTGATTTTTTAACAAACAGGTTGTAAGCTATGAAAACTGATAATGTTCTTCATTGTTTTTTATCAATTTTAAAACTGCAGGATGTTTTAAAGAAGTCTTTTACATATCAAAGCATTTTAAAAAAGATTTTCTGAATAATGGTTTTGTGATTATATTTTGTCTTACATTCCTTTATAAATCAGGTATTTTGTCTGTGATTTTAAACCTTATTAGTCATAATTAAAATACAATTGTATTTTATATTGTAACACATCATCAAGCTGTTTATAAGTTTTACATTATATGGAAACATTATGTATATATATTTCGTTAGTTTCTAAGTTTTTATACGCCCGTTTACGGGACGTATTATGGTATACCGTTGTCCGTCTGTCCGTCCGTCTGTCTGTCCGTCCGTCTGTCCGTCCGTCTGTCCGTCGTCAACATGTCGGACATTAACTCAAAAATGCTTTAACCAATTTGCATAAAACTTTGGTGAATTGTTTATATCTATTGACGTGAGCTCCCTTTCGTTTTTTATAAAATTTAGATTTTACGTTTCCGAGTTATGGGGTTTTATTCATTAAAAAAAGGGGGATTTTCCAGTTTTTGGACAATAATTCAAGAATGCTTTCACCAACTTGCAAGAAATTGTGGTGAATTGTTTATATCTATTGACATGAGCTCCCTTTCAATTTCTATAAATTTTAGATTTTACGTTCCGAGTTACAGGGTTTTATTTATGAAAAAAGGGGGGATTTTCCAGTTTTTGGACAAAAACTCAAAAATGCTTTCAGCAATTCTTATGAAACTTTGGTGAATTGTTTGTATGTATTGATGTAAGCTCCCTTTAGAATTTTATAAATTTTACATTTTTCATTTCTGAGTTATGGGGTTTTATTCGTTAAAAAAGGGGTGATTTTCCAGTTTTCTGACAATAACTCAAAAATGCTGCCACCAATTCTCATGAAACTTTGGTGAATTGTTTATATCTATTGATGTAAGCTCCCTTTTTATTTTCATAAATTTCTAATATGACATTGAAAATTAATTGAACTTTATTTGTTTATAGTCTGACAACAGATTTACTAAGTATTGCACAACAGCAAGAAATCTTTAATTGAATATAAATTCAATTCATATAACCAATTTCAAGATCTTTGACTACATTTATTCAGAAACCTATAATATGTCAAATATTTAATTACAATCCAAATTCGGACCTGAATCAAGCTTGAATATTGTGTCCATTTTTGCCCCATCTGTTCAGGGTTGGACCTCTGCGGGCGTATCTAGCTGCGCTCAGCGAAGCAGTTTATTAAAATCTTATGAGGAAATGTAACTGTGAAATGATTGCCTGTTTAATTTTACATTGATATGCTTGTTGATGGTAGTCTAATTACTATTGATATGCTTGTTGATGGTAGTCTAATTACTATTGATATGCTTGTTGATGGTAGTCTAATTACTATTGATATGCTTGTTGATGGTAGTCTTATTACTATTGATATGCTTGTTGATGGTAGTCTAATTACTATTGATATGCTTGCCAATATATATCACACAGATTCATGTAACTATGTTTAATGTATTATTTACAATACTATTGACAAAACATCTATAAAAGGGTGGCAAAAGGGTATCCCTCACAATTTTCAGTACAATTTTTGTTGAAATAACAATAAACATTATCTCCATTTGACACTAAAAGTAGCTGAAAAATATGATATGATGACAGTTAATTTTGAGACTCGTTTACAGATAACATTATGGAAAAGGGGGATACTTGGCAATTCTCCATACCCTCATATAAATTAATGGAAAAAAATTTAGCTAAAAGTGAAAGTTTAACAAAATAATAAACTGATAATACACTATAATAATATAAGAATTTGCTGACAGACTAGGTCAATTTAGAAATTATTGCGATTTTTGAAGAATGAAGAAAAAATGCAAGATTAATTATTGCGATTTCAGAAAAAAGCTGCATACAGATATATTTATCAGATATCAGAATGCGAGTTCTTATTATTGCGACAATCATCTAGTCACATTATTCGCATTAATAAAAACCTTGCAATAATTTCTGAATTTACAGTATTCTTTGATTATCCCTTTCCATCAAGCTTTATGATCCATTAGGTATGACCACTCAGTATTATTACATAGCTATTAATGTTGAACAATATCAACCACTAGTTGCTAATCTGCTACTTAACTTTTCATGGGAATTAAAATATTGTCATTATTAAATACATTATTTCATATTCAAGAAGAATTTTAGATAGATTTGTATATGTTTAATTTTATTTATTGTTTATATATTTTTTCCAAATTAATAAAGTGCTAAAAACTAATTCCTATACTGTTAACATTCTAAACTAGGAATTATACACCTGCAAAAATAAACTACCATTTGGTAAAGAATACTTTCTACAGGTCCAAGCTAGTTTCACATTAACTCAATTTTGATTTAACATATCAATGATAATTTTACAATTCTTTATTTGCATGCAGACAAGATACCTTTTAATTTTTGTTGCTTCTGAGTTATGGGACTTTAATTGTTAAAAGAACAATTACATGCTTATTTCTTGATCATTCAGATTTTTTAGACAGATTGTTATGAAAATTTACACAGTTTTGAGGTCAATGAATGCAAGCCCCCTCATAATTTGATGATTTTCTTAATTATTGTTCCAGACTTATATGACTTTTTATGTTTTTCAAATGTTTTTTTGCAGAATCCAATTTTCTGTCACGTAATAAAATTATAATTACAACAAAAGCTACTTCCCTTTCCAGTTGGTTGCTCTTTGGGACACTAACTGTGCAAACATAAGGTCACTCATTGGGTAAAGTACTTTTTCTGAAACTGGTGTGTTGAGTCTTGTGTTCATATTAATCAGAAATGATAATTTAAAATGAATTGGTGCTATTTCCTTATATGAATATGAAATTTCAGTTTGATTATTTGCATAAAAACTGAAATTCGTCATGATACATGTATCAACTATCTGCTAAGCAGACTCATTACATGGAGAAGATATGAACGATATACTGGTGTCGCTGTGTTAGATATGAATCATTAATTTTTCATTCAGACTTATTCTGAATCAACTCATTGTTTTTTAATTAACGATAACTTATTTTCAGAAAAGAGTTTAAGACAGTTTACTTAAATCAAAACAGTCTTGTCAATTCAAATTTCTGAACAAGTGACAAGTCAAGTTCTATTCAACAAGAATAAGCTTTATTTGCAAGTTTAAAAAAAATAATGATATTATTTTTCTAATCATTAAGTGTGAAAAAGTTATAACAATCAGATAATTTTGACAACTCATTTATTGATAATTATTACAATGTAATATTTTTACATAACTCATACATGGCTGCTAACATTTTTTATTGTAATATCTTGCAATTATCTCAGAATTATAAATAGGAAACCCATAAAGAAAAAGTGAAATTAGAGGAAAACAAAAATTTATAAGAAAAATTGACAACAATATACCAGTTCTATTTTATCTTTATCTCAAGTTTTCTGTTTTGTTTTACATTTGTTAGGTATTTTGTGATTTGAACCTGTTATTAGTATTAAACATAGAATAAATCAAAATGTATATCATTATATATATTTCATTAAATGTCATTCTTGATGTATGTGAAAAAATCATCACCAGGGTTTATTTGGTTATGATTGTTATAATTATATGAAGTATATTTATTGTACTAAGTTTTATTTAGTAACTTGGTGTACATATGTGGTTCTATTTTACACCATTGAACAATAGTATACATTCATGATGTTGTAAGTATTCCTCCGAAATATTTGTTTTGTAGTAAGATAAACATATTCGTTGGCTATTTTTATGTCAAATTTTATGTCAATCATGACACAAAAAATGTACATATTAGAGAGCTTGATTAATGCATATCATATACATTCCATTTTTTTTAATAAGACTTTTTTTTTGGTATTTATGTTATTTTACATGTGCAAAGTTTAATCATTACATTTTTTGTAATTTCAAATCTTAATAATTTTGGAGGAAGTTCTACTGATAAAATAGCTGTTATATTCAACATTTTTGGACTAAATATTATAAGAATTTAACCTTTCTTGTAATCAAGCTTTATTTTTAATGGCTATTGTGATTTTATTGTGATGAAATAGTTTAGCAATACAATTTAATATGCTTATAATCTATAGTGCCATGTTTTCATTAAGTGCAAATTTGTAAATATATTTTTTACTTTCATTTTTTGTCGAGCCTGCGACTTTTGTCGCAGAAAGCTCGACATAGGGATAGCGATCCGGCGGCGGCGGCGGCGGCGGCGGCTACGGCGGCGGCGGCGTTAGCTAACTTCTTAAAAGCTTTATATTTTAGAAGATGGAAGACCTGGATGCTTCATACTTTGTATATGGATGCCTCATGTTACGAAGTTTCCGTCAGTCACATGTCCAATGTCCTTGACCTCATTTTCATGGTTCAGTGACTACTTGAAAAAAAAGTTCAGATTTTTTGTAATGTTAAATTCTCTCTTATTATAAGTAATAGGATAACTATATTTGGTATGTGCGTACCTTGCAAGGTCCTCATGCCCGTCAGACAGTTTTCACTTGACCTCGACCTCATTTCATGGATCAGTGAACAAGGTTAAGTTTTCGTGGTCAAGTCCATATCTCAGATACTATAAGCAATAGGTCTAGTATATTCGGTGTATGGAAGGACTGTAAGGTGTACATGTCCAACTGGCAGGTGTCATCTGACCTTGACCTCATTTTCATGGTTCAGTGGTTATAGTTAAGTTTTTGTGTTTTGGTCTGTTTTTCTTATACTGTATGCAATAGGTCTTCTATATTTGGTGTATGGAATGATTGTAAGGTGTACATGTCTAGCTGGCAGGTGTCATCTGACCTTGACCTCATTTTCATGGTTCAGTGGTTATAGTTAAGTTTTTATGTTTTGGTCTGTTTTTCTTATACTGTATGCAATAGGTCTTCTATATTTGGTGTATGGAATGATTGTAAGGTGTACATGTCTAGCTGGCAGGTGTCATCTGACCTTGACCTCATTTTCATGGTTCAGTGGTCAAAGTTAAGTTTTTGAGTTTTTGTCTTTTTTTCTAATACTATATGCAATAGTTCAACTATATTTGGTGTATGGAATGATTGTAAGGTGTACATGTCTAGCTGGCAGGTGTCATCTGACCTTGACCTCATTTTCATGGTTCAGTGGTCAAAGTTAAGTTTTTGAGTTTTTGTCTTTTTTTCTAATACTATATGCAATAGTTCAACTATATTTGGTGTATGGAAATATTTTATGATCTATATGTCAGTCACGCAGGTTTTATTTGACCTTGACCTCATTTTCAAGGTTCATTGCTCAGTGTTAAGTTTTTGTGTTTTTGTCTGTTTTTCTTAAACTATAAGCAATAGGTCAACTATATTTGTTGTATGGAAGAATTGTTAGCTGTACATGCCTGCCTAGCATGGTTCAACTGACCTTGACCTTATTTTCATGGTTCATTGGTCAATGTTTAGTTTACTTGGTTAATGTTAAGTTTATGTGACAGTTGTAATAAAGCTTTATATTTAGGACTATCAACATAATATCAATGATTAGTAAAGAAGGCGAGACATTTCAGCGTGTGCACTCTTGTTAATAAAATTTGTTATGCATATTAATCTATTTTGGGAAGTTATCCATACTTACTGTGTTTTTGTATGACATGGAATGATAAATTAACTATTCCTTGAAAATAAATCACTGTTGATGTCAGGAATATTCACTTTTCAGATCTGTTTATTTATTGGGGAAAAATGAATTTCACCACAGATTTTTACATTATAAAAATCCTATAAATGCTATATTTTTAGGTATGAATTAAAAGTTAACGTGAGGTGCGTATCAATGTGACAACAAACCTTAAACACAATAAAATTAGAACAGACATATGGAGGGCAACATACAGTCTTAAACAATAGACAAGTAAATACCATAAATACACTCAAAATTGTTCCATGTCTAGAAAAAATATTTAAACATAAAAATAAGATGTGGCATGATTGCCAAATGAGACAAGGACTTTTGTAATCACAGTGAAAACAATAACAATACCGGTAAATGGGTGACTTATCGAGGATTAAACAAATTTATCTTCAAGAGGGGATTACCACAATATGCATCTGAAAAATGTTACACTCTTACTTATAGTTTATCCTCTTCATAAGCAATACATATACCAGTAGATGAAAATGAAAAATGAAAATTCTTCCATTTCTAAAATTGTTCATATTATAGTATTTTAAATAGCTACTAACAAAATGTAAAAAATGATGTGGACCCCTGAAATTTATAGTGTTGTTTTCATTTTTTATACAACATCTTGATTTTTGTCTCGCCTTGACGGAGTCAAAAAGCGAGACATAGGTATGCTGTTTCCGGCGTCTGTGGCGGCGGCGGCGTCAACAATGTATTAGTTTGTGATTAGGTCTAGTTCATGGTGAACCACTAGTGGTAGGTCAATGATATTTGGTATGCAGTTGTATTAGCATTGGCACATCTCATTACCATGGAGATTATTTGGCCCCGCCCCCTCAGTCAAGGTCTATTGACTTTGAAACTTTTCATAGTTTACATGTGTTAGTTTGTGATTAGGTCAATTTATGGGGAACCACTAGTGGTAGGTCAATGATATTTGGTATGCAGTTGTATAAGCATTGGCATATCTCATTTCCATGGAGATTATTTGGCTCCGCCCCCTTAGTCATGGTCTATAGACTTTGAAAATTTTGCTACGTTAACATGTATTAGTTTTTGATTAGGTCAGTTCAAGGGGAACCATTAGTGGTAGGCCAATGTTAATTGGTGTTCAGTTGTATAAGCATTAGCACATCTCATTTCCATGGAGATTATTTGGCCCCGCCCCCTCAGTCATGGTCTATTTACTTTGAAACTTTTGCTTAGTTTACATGTATTAGTTTGTGATTAGATCAGTTTAAGATGAACTGCTAATGTTAAGTCAATGATATTTGGTATGCAAATTTATTGGCATTTGCAAGTATCATTTCCATGGAGATTATATAGCCCCACCCCTGATCATGGTTCATTGACTTCGAAACTTTTACATAGTTTACAAGTTAATGTTTGTGTTTAGGTTTGTTTAAAGGGAACGACTTATAATAAGTCAATGGTATTTAATATGCAGTTGTATTAGCATTGGCACATCTCATTCTATGGAGATTGTTTAGCCATGTACATGTACCTTCAGTCATGGTTCATCGACTTTGAATATTTGCATAACTTACATGTTAAAGTATTGCTATTTTAATTTCAACATTTGCATTATCAAAATTAAAAAAGGCGAGACATATCTCTGTGATAACAGTTTATTTATGGTATTTTGAAAAACTTTGTATGTTAAAATTGGTGTAATTTTAAATATTCACCTGTAAATGAAAGCAAAGTAAGAAACTGCTATTTTAAAAAGAATTTATACGGTAAACCAAGATACAAAGTTCCAGTTGGAGTTCATTTAACGTATCACTACAATATCCTGAAAACTACAGGTGAAAAAATGACAACAATGACCAATTATTAAAATGGATAACTTCCTTGTTAAGCAATATGGAGGTCAATTGTAGATATTTACTTTGTATAAGCCATACAATATAAGTTTCAGTCACTTTCATTTAAGGATTTAATCCTGCAAGACACTATTGATATATATTTTGGTATACTTTAAGGTTGTATTTTACAATAAACATGATAAATATTGAAATAGTTTTGTGTTGTGAATTATTAAAAGAAATACCCATCAGCAGATTTACATGTCTAGTTCTCTCCCTTCTTTGAACATACAAGAGGTAGATACCGATAAACAAGAGTGCACACATTGAAATGTCTCGCCTCATTTCTTACACCATATATAGTTGACCTACTGCTTATAGTATCAAATAAATAAGACTAAACCATGAAAAACTTAACATTGACCAATGAACCATGAAAATGAGCCAAAGGTCAGATTATACTTGCCAGACTTTGTACTAGACCGACACACTGAGCAGGATATTTAACATGCTAGTTCTGAAGGTAACAGTCAGCAGGAAGACACATCATCCTACCCGGACACATTGTTCTGACTTCGAGCTGACAAGTCTTTGTTCTTAATCCTTAATGATATGTGCTTAGAAGCAGCAAATACCAATTTTAAAGTCTTTAGTTTGACCAGGCCGGGGTTTTAAACTCACGACCTCCCACAGTTAAGGCGAATACACTACCACAAGACCACCAAGGTGGTTCTGAGAAACAGACCTAACTAGATATCATTGAGATGGGAGCCATCTCTGTGGGCCCCGCTGTTAATAATGTGTGGTAAAAAATTTGTATCTGTATCATTTGACATGGGGTTGTCAACTGAAACCAAAGTTTTTGACCTTGACCTTTAACCTAGGAAGTTGTACATAAATTATGACACACCCTCTGGTATTGGTTTATATACATGTCAAGTATAAACTTTGAAACCATAATGGTTCTCAAGATATTGAGCAGACATGATCTTTACCATAGGACATGGGGTTGTCAACTAAAACCAAAGTTTTTGACCTTGACATTTGACCTAGGAAGTTGTACATACATTATGACACACCCTCTGGTGTTGGTTAATATACATGTCAAGTATAAACTTTGAAATCATAAAGGTTCTCTAGATATATAGCGGACACACGGATTGACGGACAGAGGGAGGGACAGATAGACTGATCACTATAGGGCGTTCGCCATTCGGCGGGGCCCTAATTACATAACTTTAACCTTGATTTTTAAGCAGTAGCTGAACTGTTAAAATGAGGTCATGGACAAAAAGAGTGTGGTTTTAATATGAAGTATTTGATGGAAAGTACATCAAGAAATTATTTCCAGAGTATAACCACAAGACAGAGAAACTACACTGGGCACAATTCCTAACCAACAGAGTCAGAAAATAAAGAACTTTGAAAATCAGAGATACAACACCTAAAACAAGATTCAGCATTAAAACATTTTAATCAACTTGCCCCTTTCAGCAAGTGATCATAAAATTTTACCTGTCCAAATTTTTAAAAATGTAAGAAAAAATTTAATGTGAAGTAGAAAGTACTTTATCCAATCTGTTGATATTGAGTAAATTTTCATACCTTTATAAAGCACAAATTTTACATGAATACTGAATATGGGCATAATTCATTTTTTACCAAGATTTCCTCTTTTTGAAAAAGAATAACAAAAGACAAAGCTTGTTGATAAATATTAGGGTTAAATTTGTGTATTGGGTTTTTCTCTTTATTTCACATTTGTTCCAGCATCATTAAATCAATGGTATTAAGGTGATTTCGGATTCCTTAACAGTTTTAAATAAATTGCTTCGACGAGCGCAGCTGGATACGACCGCAGAGGTCCAACCCTGAACAGTTGGGGCAAAAATGGACACAATTACACCCTTGAAAAAAAAAAATTTGAAGGATTTTCTTTTTGATTTCTAAAATCTTGAGAATAAATTGTCCCCCTCCACCCCCAACCCCCCAATTTTTTGTAACCTCCTCACCCCCCTTTTTCCCCAAAAAAATCTGAAATATGACTTGACTATAAACAACCAAATCATAATCTGATTAGCCAATATTATTATACCTGCTATAGATTGTAGGGGGAATGCATGTAGTACAAATAAAATGCTCCGCTGGGTGCAGCTTGATACGACAGCAGAGGTTGAACTCTGAACAGTTGGTACAAGTATGGACACAATATTCAAGCTTGATACAGCACTGAATTTGGATTGTGATTAAATATTTGACACAGCACAGGTTTCTGACACAGAATGAATGTGGTCTAAGAACTTAAAAATTTTTAATTTACCTATTCAAACCATATCATTATTATTTGCTTTTATATATAAATCAGAAATAACCAATTTAAAATGGAAAATAAAAAAAAAAAAAAATTTTTTTGAACCCCATTATGATTCATCACCCCCAAACTCAATCCCATTCTTCCCTTTGTTGTATGGTACCTGCAGTACAATTTCAGAGAGATCCATACACTTGAACACAAGTTATTGTCTGGAAACTAGAAAAATGCTTGTTTTTTTCCCCCTTTTTGGCCCCAAATTCCTAAACGTTTAGGGCAATTACCCCCAAACTCAAACCCAGCTTTCCCTTTGTGATATGGAACCTTGTAGTACAATTTCATAAAGATCCATACACTTACACACAAGTTATTGTCCTGAAACTAGAAAAACGCTTGTTTTTTGCCCCTTTTTTGGCCCCTAACTCCTAAAATTTTGAAGCAATTACCCTCAAAATCAATCCCAGCCTTCCCTTTGTGGTATGGTACCTTGCAGTACAATTTGAGAGAGATCCATACACTTGAACACAAGTTATTATCTGGAAACTAGAAAAATGCTTATTTTTGGCCCCTTATTCCTAAACATTTTGGGCAATTACCCCCAAACTCAATTCCAGCTTTTCCTTTGTGATATGGAACCTTGTAGTACAATTTCATAAAGATCCATACACTTACACACAAGTTATTGTCATGAAACTAGAAAAATGCTTGTTTTTTGCCCCTAATTCTAATATTTTGAGGCAATTACCCCATAAATCAATCCCAGCATTCCCTGTGTGATATGGAACCTTGTGGTACAATGTCAGAGAGATCCATACACTAACACACAAGTTATGTCTGGAAGTTACAAAAATGCTTATTTTTGGCCCCTCATTCCTTAACTGTTGGTACCATAACCCCCAAAATCAATCCCAACCTTCCTTTTGTGGTATTGAACCTTATGGTAAAATTTCATAGAGATCCATTCACTTAAACTAAAGTTAGAGTGCGAAAACCAATGTGTCTTTGGACGATGACGACGCCACTTCATACCAATATATGACCGCAAAAAATTGTCGTATAAAAATTAGTAAATTTGTTGATGTTGTCTAGGAAGAATGATTCTTTTATTAATTGATAAAAAAGAAATCATTGAGCTAAGAATTGGTATTTTTCAAAGTCCACTTTTATTTAACATGCACAATTGGTAAAGTACATCACAGCTTTAAGTTGTCAGAGAATGACTTTCACTTGTCATGGGCAATGAGACTACTGTATCTGTTGGACCTTGAATAAGTTCTTCAAATTCAGTAAATCAGATTGTTGCACATGTGCTTTAAGACCCTTAGATGGAGTTGGCTACTATTCTAAGGTCCCCTTTGGCCACATAGCTCAATTATTCAAGTATGCCTTCTTTCGTTTTCAAAATTTGGGTTTTAGCATTCCTGGTGAAGGAACTCAAGAAAAGACAGACAAAAGATACATGGCGATGACAATAAGAGATTTTCTGTCAGATGGACTAAACCAACTATTCTTAAAAATAAATAATACTAAAATGAGATCAAAGTTTTTACTTTATCACAAAACACAAAAAAACAATCTCAAAAAGGTCAACAAAATTCAAAATATAGCATATTGATACATAGATTATCACAGATGTAAACATGACTATGTAAAACAATTTTAGTACAAAATCCAACATAGTATATATTGATAATTGAAGTAAGGAGTTGCTGTTCATATTAAGCTATTTAGTAAAACTTTTATTATTGAACCAGCTAAAGAAATAGTTTGACAACTGATCAATTTTAGCGTGTACAAAGATCTATAAATCTAAGCTTGCTTGTTTGTTAGGTAAACCCTGCAATATATATTGAAAACAGCTGATTCCAATCATTGAAAAATAACAACAGAATGACCTGAAAAATCTGATTTTTCAAAGACTAGGTTTTTTTTAATCGATACTTACAAATAGCAAATAAAGAATTCATGGTTCACCTAACAAGCAAGCAAACCAAAATTTTATACATTACTGTTAACTACATATATTTAAATGATTTTGCTTAATTAAAACACAAGTGTTTCAAATGTTGTTTACTGGACAATTTTCTACTTTTACTGTATAAATGGCAATTGTAAAGAACCCTTTTTTCTGGGCCATAAAAATTCTTTACTTGATTTTTCTCTTGACCTACAGATCTTAAAAATGACTTAAATGAAGTCAAATTTGGTCCAAAAATCCAAGAAATACTCAACATACACCAATTTATCTATCATGGAAAACTATTTACCCCTTAACATTTTCCCCCCAAAAAGTGTTTCTATGAACTGAGTGTCAAATTATGCTGTAGTAAGTACTGACAATCAATATTGTCCTAAACTTACTGTATCATTGTACCTGTAAGTATTTATCTGTGGATGTAACAGTAAAATGAATATTTTCTTTTTAGAGGACTTAATTTATTGCCACAGTAACAAACTTCTGATAATTCCTAACAGATCTATTCAATGAGATACTTATCAAAAAATTATTAGATGTGGATGAAAGATTTTTTTCAACATAATGAACATGAAAATATAACTCAACACTTGGAAGGTCTAATAATTTTCTGCCCATGTAAATTTAAATGCAACATTTATGAACAGAATGTATTATTTTTCAATACCATAGCAACCCACCAATGGACAAGTGTCTATACCATATGCCAACCAATCTGACAAATACTTACCAAAAAGTCATGATTTCCACCAACCCCTTGTGTGTTATGAAATGGGTATTTTAGGGCTCTACCTTGAGCCATTATTTTTGTCTACATGTAGACTTAAACTGTGACATGATTTGGGGTTTCAGAAAACCATACATACTATTCAAATAATAAACACTACACAATAAGATAGTCTGTAGATACTAAGTAACAACATTTGAACTTTTACATCTGTAACTTCATTCACAAAATCAAATGCAACAAACTTTTAAAAAATTGTGTGAATTTCACTTTTTCTAAATTCATTTAATTCTAATAAAAGAGGGAGCATTTATTGTCCTACAAACAGTTTTTACCTCATCACTTGTTCCAATCTAAAAAATTGGAATTTATTTTTTGTTGAGGTCTATATCTAAATATTTGCCAGTATCAATTAAATCTTCTGCAAAATTACTCTCTAATGAATTTACATCAGCACTTCTAACTTTCTTACATTTTCTTAAATTTTACAATTCTGTGAAGGGTCTATTATTCTTGGGAGTACCAATTTTGCAAATATAAAAATCACAAATTCAAGAACATTTTCAACATTTTTCTACAAAACACAAAACTGGGTAAACATGAATAAAAATACTAAGTATACAAGAATAATAAGGCTCATACAAAACAACTTTGCCATATAAGCTAGTCTACAGCTTCCATATCAGTATAACCCTGTGGATGAGTTTCCTCTGTATCACTGGTTGAGCTATTGTCACTAGCCTGGTCCATTACCCCAATACTGGACCCAACTTGTAGTCCTCGTGTTTTATTTAGTCCTGAGTCTGTCTTTATAAAAGTTTTTACCCCAGCCTGAGACATTTCACCAAAGTCATCAGTCAATTTTTCAGAGTTGTCTCCCATGTCAGGAAAATCTTCACCCATATATAACAAAGAGTCACTATCTTTTGTTGAGTCTTCTTGAGGTTCTGAGCTTGAGTCAATTGATGTGGAACCTTCCTTACTGGGAACTTTTTCATCCTCATCATCAAACAAGTCTATTTGTGGTGGGGGACTAAACGGTGTACGACAGCGGTAGAACAAAAGATAGGCACCACGTGAGACAGCATTCTTTTCATGGCCTATTGAAGACACTCTGCTGTCATCACAAAGTCTCCAATCTAAAATACACACACATATATAAATATATGTACATATAGAATTGAAAATAAAAGTTCTTACTTTATGCACAGAATAATATATTTGAAATGAAATAAACATAAAAATTGACAAAAAATTAAAACCTAGTGTTTTTAACCTTCACAGAACTTGTCAAGACCTTTAATACTGTGTTGCCTCAAAGAAGCTCAATTGCAGTTCTTTCTTACTAATACCTAAAAAATTAGGACTTCGTGTAAGTGGATGCAAGGATCAGTTTGAACATCTGAAAACACGCAATTTTTTTACCTTCTTACATCTTGGGAAATGAGCATTTTGTGATGTTTTTAGGTCTATCACATCAGAACATGGAAGAAGGATGAAATTTACGTAATAGGGGAATACTCTTTTTGCCTTACATTAATGTCTAAGCATATATACCGGGTAATATAAATACCTTCACAACCTCATGAACATTTTTTAACTTATTTAACTTAATTTTAGTGAATTGGAACATCTCAAAACCATGCAATATACTAACTGTGTAAACACTTACCAATTTCATTTTTCTTTGGGTCTATGGTATCAGAACACCGTACAAATGATGTATAGTGTCCACCCAGTATGCCACCATAATGATTCACTACAGCATATAAGTCATATAATGGTGGTGGACCAATCTCGTGACCCTTCCCAATCAGATATGGTGCCAAATTTAAACCTCTGTAAATACAGTCATTTATCCTTCAATTAGTAAGCTTTAATAATAAAATTAAAAAGAATAATGTGGCCATAAGACACAGATGCCCCCAGCTTGTAAATATGCAAGAGTCAATGTACTAATTCAAACCTATTGACATTTGTTTCTGTATGTTGTCAATAGATTGCTCGGGGGTTAGAGTGTGCAAAACAGCAGATTTTGCAATTTTTCATTTATAAAGGGGCATAACACAAAAACGGTGAAAGTGAGACCACCCAAATTATAACTTGATATGTGATTGGTGGTTAAGCATTGCGTATAAGTTTCATAACATTTGATTGAGGCAAAGTAAAGTTAGAGTGTGGAAACAGCAAATTCACCAATTTTTTCCATTTATAAAGGAACATAACATGAGAACCGTGAAATATGCCACCCAAATTCAAACTTGATCTGTGTTTGGTGGAAATAAGCATTGTGTATTGTAACATCAGTTTTGGTCCAATTTTTTCCATAATTCATAACTTTTTTTGGCATAATTTACTTTGGCCACAACTGCTGATCAAGATTTTTTTTGTATCTAGGGATTCAATATCATTTATTAGTTACAGAACATTTTAGGTGGTAGGTTGCGACCAAAGTTTTCCTTAAGCTTTAATGTCCGGAAAATGCACAATATCATCGTAATTTGTCTATTTATCCAAAATGTGGTGACTTTGGAACCTATAATGTACTCTTTTGAAAAGCTTTGTTTAACCAAGCAGTAAGGCTTTTGAAATAGACCCATTTAAGAACCAAGATGATATTTTATTAAAGTTGAAATTCAAGACCAAATTTAGCCAACAGTGAACCTTGTCCTTTAACGTACAAACCTTGTCGGAAATTCCACCATTTTGTCAATTTTATCTCTCCATATAAAATTTCTGAAGGAAAATCTTTTCAGCTGTATTATGACAGTATGAGGAAGTCGCCATATAGACATTTGTTTTGTAGCTTCTCTGTGTTGTTTACATTTTGGACAGTACCTACAACGAAAACAGAATAAAGACATTTTAATGACACACTTCGACCCATCCTTCAAGGACTACAATCCTCAGTTGAAGTTCTAAACCTATATATCTTAGAAGAGAATCACTGTTTAGTCTGTTTATCAAAATAATTGATAAGCCTTGGATAAAAATCTTTGATTCTGTATGTCTAAAAAAGGACTATAATAGTCACAACTTCTGGCTCAGTATGTTCAGTCATTTCCCAATAATTATCACAAAGCTGTCTTTGTTGAGAAGGTTTTGTTTAGCCAGTTATCTAAAGGATTTTCAGTTGGTTAATAATTACTTACTCAATTAGTTGATCGATTGGTGTTTTCAGTCTATTATCCACTTAACTAATTCAAGAATAATACTTATGGAACTTCATCTGATTTCAGAATTTCTAGTTCTCACTGTCAAGTTAGTATATTTCGAGAAAATTCCAAGCTTTTTATTGGCTGAGAATTTCTCAATTTAAGAATGACCAATTATCTCTGCCAAGGTAGCTCATCTAAAGATAATACTCACAAATCTACATCTTGGTTGGCAGATTCTGGTTTTACTGTATAGTCAGTTTATTTGAAGATGATACTTTGACTCAATAATCCTTGATTGGAATTATACTTTGACTCAATAAGCCTTGATTGGAATTATACTTCATCTCAATAAGCCTTGATTGGAATTATACTTTGACTCAACAAGCCTTGATTGGAATAAAACTTTCTACTTCTATCTGCTAATACATGACGCACATCAGGGCTCACACTACTTCAGAATCATAGGGGGATGTGACTTCTCTTTTAGAAACTGGGAGAAGTGGTGAGATATGAAAGAGTAGTGCTTGTTCGCTTGCGGCGCTACAATGTTTGGTTTTTAATTATAATATAAAGGGCCATATGTATCTTCTTTTTTTTTATTGTTCAATTCATTCCCGAGTATACAATTAAAGTAACAGTTTAAATTAAATAAAATGCTCCACTGGGTGCAGCTTGATACGACAGCAGAGATCGAACCCTGAACTGTTGGGGCAAGTATGGACACAACATTCAAGCTTGATACAGCACTGAATTTGGATTGTGATTAAATATTTGACACAGCACAGGTTTCTGACACAGAATGAATGTGGTCTAAGAACTTAAAAAATTTTTAATTTACCTATTCAAACCATATCATTATTATTTGCTTTTATATATAAATCAGAAATAACCAATTTAAAATGGAAAATTTTAAAAGAAAAAAAAAGGAAAAAAAAGATCCCCCTTCCAATTTTTTGAACCCCCTTATGATTCATCACCCCCAAACTCAATCCCAGCCTTCCCTTTGTGTAACAATGTATGGTGCCTTGCAGTACAATTTCAGAGAGATCCGTACACTTGAACACACGTGATTGTCTGGAAACTAGAAAAATGCTTGTTTTTTTCCCCTTTTTGGCCCCAAAATCCTAAACGTTTAGGGCAATTACCCCCAAACTCAAACCTAGCTTTCCCTTTGTGATATGGAACCTTGTAGTACAATTTCAGAAAGAACCATTCACTTACACACAAGTAATTGTCCTGAAATTAGAAAAATGCTTGTTTTTTCCCCCCTTTTTGGCCCCTAATTCCTAAAATTTTGAGGCAATTACCCCCAAAATCAATCCAAGCCTTCCAATTGTGGTATGGTACCTTGCAGTACAATTTCAGGGAGATCCATACACTTGAACACAAGTTATTGTCTGGAAACTAGAAAAATGCTTTTTTTTTGCCCCCTTTTGACCCCTTATTCCTTAACGTTTTGGGCAGTTACCCCCAAACTCAATTCCAGCTTTCCCTTTGTGATATGGAACCTTGTGGTACAATGTCAGAGAGATCCATACACTAACACACAAGTTATGTCTGGAAGTTACAAAAATGCTTATTTTTGGCCCCTAATTCCTTAACTGTTGGTACCATAACCCCCAAAATCAATCCCAACCTTCCTTTTGTGGTATTGAACCTTGTGGTAAAATTTCATAGAGATCCATTCACTTAAACTAAAGTTAGAGTGCGAAAACCAATGTGTCTTCGGACAACGACGACGACGACGCCAACAACGTCGTACCAATATACGACCACAAAATTTTTTATTATCATAAGAATACGGATTTCATCATAGCTAGTCTGCTTCCGATGAATCTTGCCTATCTTGCCTCCGATCCTTAGTTCGTACAAATATTTCAATGGCGGATGAAGAAATTTACAAAATAAACGATGTTTGACAAGCTATTTGGAAAGGAATATGACGTTTTTAATGCAAAAAAAGGATAAACATTAACTATAGGCAATTTTCATCACGTTCTAATGAAGTAACAAACTTATTTTGCTAAAAATTAGAATGATTTGATGTATGCTCTCGAGTAACAAGTACCAGAATGGATAAAAAAAGTTGTCTTTATGTAATAACATACAACCAACTGTTCAGTCAATGCTTTCACCTCCTTTCTAAAGATATAAATTTGTTTATGTCTTTGAATTTCTTTACTTATAAAGGAATAAAATGCTTTGCCGAGCGCAGCCTGAGACGACTGCAGAGGTTGAATCTGAACAGTTATTTTTGACATAATATAGGTTTCTGACACAAAATAAATGTGGTCAAAGATCTTAAAAATTTGAAATGGGACATTTAATTTACCTAGAATGGTCTGATATCCAAAATCTAACAACATGGTTATATTCAGCACATAAAAAACACCAAAAATTTAATTTTAGTTGAAATCAAACACAGTTTAATTTTGGACCCTTCAAACCTTAATATGGACTAATGTGAAAACAGGGCCCAAAATAAAAAATCTAAATGCACAATAAGATTCAGCATATAATAGACCTGCAATAATTCAGTTTTTAATTAAATCAAACAAAGTTTAATTTTGGACCCTTTGGACCTCACTGTAGACCAATTTAAAAATGGGGCCCAATATTCAAAATAGAAATACCAGGTAAGAACCCCCCAAAATTAAAGACTTTAAATTAATCCCATCAAAATTGGTTAAAAGATTTGTATTTATTTTTTGCTATTGCCCAATACTGTGCTATGGCGCAATACTGTGAAAATGAAGATTTCTTGCTATTGCGCAATACTGCCCAATTGAAGATTTCTTGCTGTTGCCCAATACTGTGTTATCACGCAATCCTGTGATATTGTGCAATACTGTGATATTGCCCAATACTGTGATATTGCGCAATACTGTTCTATTGCCCAATAATGTGCTATTGTGCAATACTGTGTAATTGAAGATTTCTTGCTATTGGACAATACTGTGTTGTTGCGCAATACTGTGCAATTGAAGATTTTTTGCTATTGCGCAATTATAACTGTGCAATTGAAGATTTCTTGCTGTTGCGCAATACTGTGCAGTTGAAGATTTCTTGCTATTGTGCAATACTGTGCAGTTGAAGATTTCTTGCTATTGCGCAATACTGTGCAATTGAAGATTTCTTGCTATTGTGCAATTGAAGATTTCATAAATTTAAAATTTTGAAAATTTTGAAAAAAAAAAAAAATGAACCCCCAAAAAAATTTCGAAAAAAAAATCCCCTTAACTTATAGAACCCTCCTCCCCCATTTGGAGTAATTACCCCCAAACTCAATCCCAGCTTTCCCTTTGTGGTATGGAACCTTGTAGTACAATTTTATAGAGATCCATACACTTAAACACAAGTTATTGTCTGGAAACTAGAAAAATGCGTGTTTTGCCCCTTTTTTTACCCTAATTCCTGAACGTTTGGGGCAATTACCCCCAATCTCAATCCCAGCCTTCCCTTTGTGATATGGAACCTTGTGGTACAAATTCAGAGAGATCCATACACTTACACACAAATTATTGTCTGGAAACTACAAAAATGCTTGTTTTTGGCCCCTCATTCCTTAACTGTTGGTACCATAACCCCCAAAATCAATCCCAACCTTCCTTTTGTGCTATTGAAACTTCTGGTAAAATTTCATAGAGATCCATTCACTTAAACTAAAGGGATTGTCTGGAAACCAAATGTGTCTTCGGACAATGACAACAACACGACGACTACAACTACATCATAGCATTATTTTTGCGGTTGTATGAAAACTGCTGTTTCTTCAACTTGGTAAAAATTAAAAATTGCCGATGACGAAAGCAACTGAAATCGAGTCTTGTGAACAACAGGATGACAAGATATCGCTTTTGACGTCGGGCAAAGCGAAGTGATGGACAGGAAAGCGACTTTTTTGCCCTAGTTGCCTGCTAGCGTGAGCCCTGACACACATATCTTAACTTGGAAGAGCAGTGACTGTTTGACAATACTCACCAAGCTTCATCTGGGTTCAAAATTTCTGGTTCTGTGAACAAGTCCAGACATTGCTCTAATGTAATACTATTGTTTTCTGGAAAATAAAAAGAGAAATTGAAAATTATCTGAAAACCAATGAAATTGTTGTTTAACATTCGGATGGTCATTATATTTCATGAAATCTCAATTGACTGATGATTTATATATAAAAAAAAAATTTGTCAAAAATTCTGCAATTTGTAAACAATGTATTTAGCCTAGACTATTTTTTTATTGAGCTGCAAAGTGATGAGATTATGATTCAGTTAATAATCATAAAAGAACAGAGTTCCAATGTCCCCCGCGATGCAAATATTTTATCTATCCAAGGTACAAGGGCAATAACTAAACTAGAGGCTCTCAAGAGCCTGTGTCGCTCACCTGTATTTACTGATTCTTTGGAAATCATGTAAAATAAGGTTAAAATCATAATTAATAGTATTAGATATTAGATATTATAATGATATCTAAGATAATAACAAAAAACTGCAAAATTTTTGTAAAATTACTAACTCAGGGGCAGCAACCCAACAACGGGTTGTCGGATTCATCTGAAAATTTCAGGGCAGATAAATCTAAAATCTGATGAACATTTTTGCCACCTGTCAGATTTGCTCTAAATGCTTTAGTTTCAGAGATATAAACCAAAAACTGCATTTTACCCCTATGTTCTATTTTTAACCAAGTCGGCCATGATGGTTGGAAGGCGGGGTCATCTGACAAATTTTTTAAACTAAATACCCTAATAATGATTATGGCCAAGTATGGTTAAATTTGTCTCAGTAGTTTCAGAGAAGAAGATTTTTGTAAAAGATTACAAAAATTTACAAAAAATTGTTAAAAATTGACTATTAAGGGCAATAACTCCTAAAGGGGTCGACTGACAATTTTGGTCATGGCAACTTATTTGTAGATCTTACTTTGCTGAACATTATTGCTGTTTACAGTTTATCTCTATCTATAATAATATTCAAGATAATAACCAATAAAATGCTTCGCTGGGGCGCAGCTTGATACGACCGCAGAGGTCGAACCCTGAACAGTTGGGGCAAGTATGGACACAACATTCAAGCTTGATACAGCTCTGAATTTGGATTGTTATTAAATATTTGACACAGCATAGGTTTCTGACACAGAAAGAATGTGGTCTAAGAACTTGAATTTTTTTAATTTACCTATTATGGTCCAATGTCCAAAATCAAAATACATGGTTAGATTCAGCATATCAAAGAACCCCATATATTCAATTTTTGTTGAAATCAAACAAAGTTTAATTTTGGACCCCAACTTGGACAAACTTGAAAACTGGGCCCATAATCAAAAATCTAAACACATGTTTAGATTTAGCATATCAAAGAACCCCAAGAATTCAATTTTTGCTAAAATCAAACTAAGTTTAATTTTGGACCCTTTGGACCTTAATGTAGACCAATTTAAAAAATGGGACTTAAAATTAAAAATCTAAATACACGGTTAGATTTGGAATATCAAAGAACCCCAATAATTCAATTTTTGATGAAATCAAACAAAGTTTAATTTTGGACCCTTTTGACCTCAATATGAACAAATTTGATAGGGGGGCCCACAAATAAAAATTCTTAATGCATGGTTAGATTCAGCATATCAAAGAACCCCATATATTCAATTTTTGTTGAAATCAAAAAAAGTTTAATTTTGGACCCCAACTTGGACCAACTTGAAAACTGGGCCCATAATCAAAAATCTAAACACATGTTTAGATTCAGCATATCAAAGAACCCCAAGAATTCAATTTTTGTTAAAATCAAACTAAGTTTAATTTTGGACCCTTTGGACCTCAATGAAGACCAATTTAAAAAACGGGACCCAAATTAAAAATCTAAAAACACGGTTAGATTTGGCATATCAAAGAACCCCAATAATTCAATTTTTGATGAAATCAAACAAAGTTTAATTTTGGACCCTTTTGACCTCAATATGAACCAATTTGATAGCGGGGCCTACAAATAAAAAATCTAAATACATGGTTAGATTCAGCATATCAAAGAACCTCATATATTCAATTTTTGTTGAAATCAAACAAAGTTTAATTTTGGACCCCAATTTGGACCAACTTGAAAACTGGGCCCATAATCAAAAATCTAAATACATGTTTAGATTCAGCATATCAAAGAACCCCATATATTCAATTTTTGTTGAAATCAAACAAAGTTTAAATACTGGACCCTATCTTGGACCAACTTGAAAACTGGGCCCATAATCAAAAATCTAAACACATGTTTAGATTCAGCAAATCAAAGAACCCCAAGAATTCAATTTTTGTTAAAATCAAACTAAGTTTAATTTTGGACCCTTTGGACCTCAATGTAGACCAATTTAAAAAACAGGACCCAAAATTAAAAACCTAAATACACGGTTAGATTTGGAATATCAAAGAACCCCAATAATTCAATTTTAGATGAAATCAAACAAAGTTTAATTTTGGACCCTTTTGACCTCAATATGAACCAATTAGATAACGGGGTCCACAAATAAAAAATCTAAATACATGGTTAGATTCAGCATATCAAAGAACCCCATATATTCAATTTTTGTTGAAATCAAACAAAGTTTAATTTTGGACCCCAATTTGGACCAACTTGAAAACTGGGCCAAAAATCAAAAATCTAAATACATGTTTAGATTCAGCATATCAAAGAACCTCATATATTCAATTTTTGCTAAAATCAAACAAAGTTTAATTTTGGACCCTTAGGACATTAATGTAGACCAATTTGAAAACTGGACCCAAAATTAAAAATCTAAATACACTGTTAGATTCGGCATAACAAATAAATAAATGTGATCAAAGATTTTACAAATCTAATGCGCCATACTGTGCAATTAAAGATTACTTCTTGAAATTTTTCAATATTTGAAATTTGAAAAAAAAATAATATTTGAAGAATAATTCTTTTTAATTTCTGAAATCTGAAATGAGAAAAAATTGGCCCCCCACAATTTCTTTTTATTCCCCCCCCCCCTCTTTTTCCCCCAAAAAAATTCTTTCCCTCAAGATATAGTCATAATCTCAATTCAAATTTCCAATGGAGTTGGCAACCATAATTACCCATTTAAATTTACCATAGTGCTAACTTAATCTATTTTATAATAGAATTAATAAAAATATAGTGTCAAATCTTTCATATGGATTTTTTGGTAAAAAAAAAAGATGAAAACATTTGCAGATATTTTTACTGGTCTTCCTTTATAAATATGCATTTCTTTAAACATAATTTAAAAGCAGTGTAAGGGAAGTAACCAAAACGTTGTATTTGGATTACCTCCCTTACACTGTTTTAGATTATCTTTATTGTTCATTAACCATTACTTTATACATAATTTAAAAGCAGTGTAAGGGAGATAATTTCAATGATGTATTTGATTTATCTCCCTTACACTGCTTTAAATTATGTTTTGTACTAAAGTATTTGTCCATTAACCAGGACAACCTTGTTTTTCCCCCTTTTTTGCCCCTAATTCCTAAACGGTTTGAGCCATAACCCCCCAAAGCAAATCCTAACCATCCCTTTGTGGTATGGAAACTTGTAGTATAATTTCAGAGAGATCCATACACCGTTCCACAGTTATTGTCTGGAAACTAGAAAATGCTCATTTTTGGCCCCTTTTTGGCCCCTAATTCCTTAACTGTTGGTACCATAACCCCCAAAATCAATCCCAACCTTCCTTTTGTGGTATTTAACCTTATGGTCAAATTTCAAAAAGATCCATTCACTTAAACTAAAGTTAGAGTGCGAAAACCAATATGTATTCGGACGACGACGCTGGACGACGACGACGCCGGACGACGACGACGACGACGCCAACGTCATACCAATATACGACCACAAAATTTTTTTGCGGTCGTATAAAAACTGCAAAATTTCCTTAAAATTACCAATTCAGGGGCAGCAACCCAACAACAGGTTGTCAGATTTGTCTGAAAATTTCAGGGCAGATAGATCTTGACCTGATAATCAGTTTAACCCTATGTCAGATTTACTCTAAATGCTTTGGTTTCAGAGATATAAGCCAAAATCTACATTTTACCCCTATGTTCTATTTTTAGCCATGGCAGCCATCTTGGTTGGTTGGCGGGGTCATCGGACACATTTTTTAAACTAGATACCCTAATGATGATTGTGGCCAAGTTTGGTTAAATTTGGCCCAGTGGTTTCAGAGGAGAAGATTTTTGTAAAAAGCTAACGACGACGGACGACGACGACAGACGACGGACGCCAAGTGATGAGAAAAGCTCACTTGGCCCTTCGGGCCAAGTGAGCTAGAAAAGCAGGTATTTTTTTGTTCTTTAAAACATTTCATTAATATCTTAAGAGAAATGAAGGCTTCAGAGCAAATGCAATGTGATTTCCATTATAATTTATATTTCCAAGGGGCATAACTCGTTCAAAATATTTGATCAGAACTTATTTTCAAAAGTGTCAAAAGACATTGTTGATATAAACCTATGATATAAGTTTCATAAAATTCTGGCAAGAATTAAGCACATAAGAGCGATAACATTGCAATTTTCCATATAATCAATATTTTCACAGGGCATAACTCTTTTGAAAATAATTGATCGGCACTGATATTTGAATTCATCAAGAACATTAACTATATAAACCTATAATATAAATTTCATAAAAATCTGGCAAGAATTGTACACATTAGAGGTCTCATTAGGCAATATTCCATATAATAAATATTTCCAAGGGCATATCTCTTTTAAAAATTAATGATCGGCACTGATTTTCAAATTCCTCCAAGACATTGCTAATATAAACCTATGATTGATTTAAGTTTCATAAAATTCTGGCAAGAATTGTACATATGAGAGCGCTAACAATGCAATTCTCCATATAATTTATATTTCCTAGGGCCTAACTCTTTTAAAAATAATTGATCGGCACTGATTTTCAGACTTATCCAAGACATTGCTGATATAAACCTATGATATAAGTTTCATAAAAATGTGGCTAGAATTGTACAAATGAGAGCACTAACGATACAATTTTCAATATAATTAATGTTTCCAAGGGGCATGACCCTTTAAAAAATACTTGATTAGCACTGATTTTCGAACTCTTCCAAGACATTGCAGATATAAACCTATGGTATAAGTTTCATAAAAATCTGGCAAGAATTGTACAAGTGAGAGAAATGGATGCCCAGTATTTCCATGTCCCCTGCAACGCGTTGCGTGGGGGACAATAATGAGGGTCGGTTGAGAACAAATCTTTACAACTAAATAGAATAAAATGCTCCGCAGGGCACAGCTTGATACGACCGCAGAGGTCGAACCCTGAACAGTTGGGGCAAGTATGGACACAACATTCAAGCTTGATACAGCTTTGCATTTGGATTGTGATTAAATATTTGACACAGCATAGGTTTCTGACACAGAATGAATGTGGTCTAAGAACTTAAAAATTTTAAATTGGACATTCACCTTTTATGGTCCAATATCCAAAATCTAAATACATGATTAGATTCAGCATATCAAAGAACCCCAAGAATTCAATTTTTGATGAAATCAAACAAAGTTTAATTTTGGACCCTTTTGACCTCAATGTGGACAAAGTTGATAACGGGGCCCAAAAATCAAAAATCTAAATACATGGTTAGATTCAGCATATCAAAGAACCCCTATATATTCAATTTTTGTTGAAATCAAACAAAGTTTAATTTTGGACCCCGATTTGGACCAACTTGAAAACTGGGCCCGAAATCAAAATTCTAAATACATGTTTAGATTCAGCATATCAAAGAACCCTAAGAATTCAATTTTTGTTAAAATCAAACTAAGTTTCATTTTGGACCCTTTGGACCTTAATGTAGACCAATTTGAAAACGGAACCAAAAATTAAGAATCTAAATACACAGTTAGATTCGGCATATCAAAGAACCCCAATAATTCAATTTTTGATGAAATCAAACAAAGTTTAATTTTGGACCCTTTGGACCTTAATGTAGACCAATTTGAAAACGGAACCAAAAATTAAGAAT